TTTCCCGACGTAATATGTTCTTTGGCTTTCCTCTTTTCCTCTTCCCTTCAGAATTCCAAGTTAAGGATTGCCTCCTGATGCAGTTTGATGATTTCCTCAATGTATGTCCTATCCACTTCCAACGTCTTTTCCTAATTTCCTCTTCATTTGGAAGCTGGTTTGTTCTCTGTCAAAATAGACTGTTGCTGATAGTATCCTGCCAATGGATGTTGAGTATCTTGCGTAGACAACTAGAAAAAAATCTTGCTAAAAAAAACGCTAACCAGATTAAACAAATTAAACCATTAGCCTAGACAAGTAGATCATGTAAAACTACGTGTATTCGGATATACTTTTCTATTTATTTTCACTCCATAATAAACCTTCAGTTAAAGTCTTACTCTCACTCTTAAGTCGAGCCATGTCATTCTGTGTTTAGTTATAAGAAGCAGAAAAATAACCAATTGTTTTTATTAGCTTACAAAAGTCATTAATAAAAATTCCGTCTTGAATACGGGATAATATAAACACTTAGTAATTATACACTCGTTGAACGAATTAGTCGTTAACTGTACCTAGTGATTTAGTGAATGACGTACTGTCTGTTTTTTAGCGAGTTAGTTTTCTACGCTAACCCTATGCCTAACCCTCCTCCTTTACCCAGGCTTGGAACCGGCAGTAACTCTAGAAGAGCTACAGGCGGAGTTTAGAACAATAACGGGGCGGATTTGCATGCATATAGCATATAATACTCTTTGAACCTAGCACATAATAATAACATCATGCACTGTCCCATAGCTCTTGGTAGATCATGCAACCCGAAAGTTACGAGAACACCATCAGTGCATACGACAGGCTAGGTACTGTCTGTGCATAATTCAATTCTCCTTGTCTGCATTAATATTGGAATCTAGACAAGTCCGTCTGATCAATCCTATATAAAATGAAATAAACGTACTGCATTCCCCTATCAGACATAATTTCGTTTTAATAATTTATAGAAATAAAGAAACGGTAATGACTTGAAAACAAAACTGAAGTGAATTAAAATTGTTAATTTTCAAAGTTGCTGAATAACAGTTACAGTCACTAAAAAGAAAATGACTGCGTAATAATCCATTTTCTATTAGATGATCAGAGGCAATTAAACTGAAATCTTGATTCTAAGTACCATACCTTATGCTATTAATCATTAGGGTAAAGTTGCAGCACTGAGATAATTATGTTCTCTTAGGTATTCAAAGTCACGGTTAGAGAAATTTGTCATTGAATTATTCAATGAGAACTAGACATACTTATTTACTCCTCTTACCTCTCGTGGAGAAGCATAGACCGCCTACCAGGATTCACCATCCAATCCTGAGCACTGGATATAGTGTAAATTATTTGGGACATGTTCCAGAAATCTAGTAAACCTCAGTGATGAGCAGATAGGGTAGATGCAAAAGAAGAGGTGGTGATGGACAACAGTAGACAACTTCCAGACTTATCAAAGAAACAGGTATTAAATATTCAGTAGTTAGTCGGACTATTTTTGAAAAACATGGGTCAATGATTCACTCGCAACTCAGTAGACTGGAAAAATGAGTAAAGTAATTTCAAGGACAGTTTAGTAGCTCTCCATCTATTCTTCATCTGTATGCTTTTACCTGAATGAGATGTCAATATAAAACCTCCGACTCTTAAAGTAGAGAAAGCCACAGCAAAACTGAAAAGATGGAGAACAGTAGGCCCTGATGGATAAGTCTTTGAGGTCTTCAAAGATCATAGTCTAGTTTTAATTGTTAGGTTAACTGAGATCTTGGCTATAGTCTGGAAAATAAATGTATTCTCCTCTGACTGGTCTCGATCGCTAATCGTTAAAGTCTATAAAAAAAAGACAAAACTCTTCTTGTGATAACCACAAGAGAACCAGTTTTGCTAACGTTGTTTAAAAAATTAGCCTCAATAATCACCCGATGCTTAACTAGAGCTCACGAAGAGCAAACTTGGGAAAACCAGGCAGTTTTCAGGCCTGGGTATGGGCCTGCAGACCAAATATTGCCTTCCGTCAGGTCCTCGAACACAAACATACTTACCAACTTTCAATCATAGTCGTATTTCTTTACCTTAAAGAAACGTTTGATTCCATAGATCGATATGTTTTATGTAAATGTAGGCTATCGAAAGAGGAACCAAAGTATATCAACCGTGTACAGGCTCTCTACTCAAACAATACTACTTGAGTCGGAGCTTATGGAAAACTGTTATTGTAATTGATAACTTCAAGTGGTGTTTCCCATAGTTGTCCATTTTTCCTACTTTAATAAAACTTTATCATATGCATTCTTTTGGATAAAACACTTCCACTGTATGACTTATCAGGAGTCGATCTTCTACCAGGAGATTCCTCTGCTGGCTTAGAATATGCAGATGGTATAGCCTCGCCTGGTGAAGACTCAGAAAAAATGTAGCCTTCTGACAATCTAAAGCATTAATGATAGTATGTTTGAGACGAGTTCCTCCCTCTCTAAAGGCAAAATGTCACTTTAGGACTAGTCTATATCGACCACTTTGTCTCGGAAGTCTCATCAGTCGCGGTCGATTGGTGTCTGACGAAGTCTCAACGCCAGTTCACGGAGTTCGGATTGCTTTTAGAAATTTATGGAGTAGGGAAACTTTCTGTCTGCTAACTAAAGGGAGAGTATACTATGCAGCAGTTCACTTCGTCCTACACCAAGGATCTGAATCATGCTAATTATGAATAAATCATTATTTATTTAAATGCCCTGGTATGGCCGAGAGTGGGGTGGGCCCGCCCTCCCCCTCGAAATGCTCTCGCATGGCCACGCGTGCACAGCCTCTGTCATGGAAGTCCTACTCACTGCCTTCTCTCACCACGAGTGTTGTTTACGAAAATGAGGACGAAAAGCGAATGTCCGGCGCTTTAACCGGATCCCAAACCAATGATGCACATGGGCTCCAGTATCCTGAGAGAACAAATGACGTATGAACCAATCGTTGGTCACCGGTTTCCATGGGATTGCATCTCCTGACGATGCTCCACTGCCTTGTGGATCGGACCTTCAGGTCGAAGGCTCGGGGTGTGGCCCCCTAAGAAGACCACCTGTTTCGGTCTGGGCACCCAGGCAGTATCACAGTCCACACACAAGTATGATGAACTGTCGATAATTATGAATAAAAGATTTTAGTAGATTACTAGTATTCGACTATAGGTTTCTCCGAACCATTGAGATCGTCGGGTTAGCGATTCTGAGTTTAGACCTTGGATACACGGTACGTATGTCAAACCAATTGATGCTGTAGTGAATCTTCACTAATTGAGATTGTTAGGACATGTACTACATATGCCTATCGACTGACCACCTTTACGCCCGATGATGGCTGGTGTAGGAGTGGGTTGGTAGGAAGCTAAGGGTAGCCAAACATGGCATAAATCCATGAAGACACTGATTGTTAGACTGAGCAGTGTGGATAGGTCCAGACTATCCGGTAGGGGTGCGTATATTATGTCGTAATCAATGGTCATAGACATGGCTTAGAACCGTTCGCAAAGGCAGAGGAGTATCCACTTCTCATCTTTAAATCCTAAGTTTCTAAATTACCTTAAAAATTTATTTTCATTTGACCAATTTAAACTTCCTCTCGAACTCTGTTTCCAGGTTTTTCTTGTTTCCACTAATACTGTTACTACTTCTGCTACCCTGGAATTTGCCCTGACGATTTCACTTGTGCTAATTAAATATGGAAACTTGGACCGATGTACTAGTGCCACGTTCTAAATTACGTTGGTTTGACGGATTTACTCTCTCATTCCAGTCTACTTACACTGATACGAATATGTTTGATAGTGGATATTTTTTAGATGACCCGGATATCATTTGATTAGTTTTTTCATCTTTATGTTTTTGCGAGAATATTAGTTCACATTCACTTACAATTTAAGTGTACTCTTAGACGAATCGTTCACCGTGTCTAAAAACTCAAGAAGTGTTATCCTAAAGGATGGATCTCCAAAGACAACCTGGAAAAGGGTCAGGAAATAAAAGACAGGAAGACAGAAGTCAACAACAGCCAAACAAATCAGAGAAGCTCAAGCCATATATTCAGTATACAGAAACAAACTGGGTCAAGAAGAACATTATAGCTGACAAGCCGTAATATATGGAAGACCTGGTAACTACAACTGGACAAAATACAAGAGAAAGAAACATGAAAGACCTATATGATACAACCAAAAGGCTAGCAAAGAGATATAGGAAACCAAGACAAATAAGGAAAAGCAATCATTGAATATGAAGAGTAGAGTACTTTTCAGAAAGCTCTTGAATAGATCAGGCTCAATGAACCCACTAAACGTCGGAGCAGCATTCACAGAACTCTCCGTTGATAACACTCTACTGACCATAATAGAGATCTGCAAGCGCATCAGACAAATCAGGAATGGTGAAGCGCCAGAACCAAACAGAATACCAGATGAAGCGTTGGATTCAGGTATGGAGGCAACCTTATAGATATCCTATGTTCTCTTCGGAAAGGTTGGAAGGAAGAAGAAACAATGGACTGTAAGGAAGGACATCTCATCAAGACATCGAAGAAAGCAGATCTTAATAAGTATGAGAAATACAAAGGAACACACTATTGTCGGAAGCAGGTAAAGCTTTTAACAATGTTGCTGAACCGAATAAAAGATCCGGCAGACCACCAACTTAGAGATCTAGCTGGATTCCTTAGGGATCAATCATATACCGACAAAATTGCGAAACTGCCTATGACTTTTGGAAAATCAGTTGAATGAAGGTCATTTCTGTCTGTCAACTTCTTGGATCGTGAGAAAGCATTCGACATATGGATAAAAACATGGTGAAATCTCCTTTGCGTACTTGAAAGATACTCCAAATATTTTGGGCAGAGACCAACAGCAATAAAGCTACTCCAACAAACAGCAACCTAGCTGAGGAAGAAGTTAGGAAAAAAACGGTGGGAGTAGGTAGGGTACACATGGTGGATGTTCGGATACAGTACGAAATTAGCTTTAAGTAGAAATTGGTTGGAATATCACCTTCCCAATCGTACTTACAAAAGAATGTGAGATTTAAAAACAATAAAGATTATGTGATAACAAGCTTCGCAATTAGAGTTAGATAAAACAACATATAACTGTGTCAAAATATTTTGCCGGATTGACTACAATTTACATGTAAATGCTAGTCGCTTTCAAAATTCTCTATATTACAAAGATCAACTCATTTCTACCTTTGATAGTCAGATCCTTGAAAGCAGAATTATTCAGTATCACTTAGTTGTTTCTATCAACAAAGCATTTTGATTATGTCATCGATGTTATAAAAAAAGCACTCTTAATATTTTACACTATATTTTATAGAGGAAACTGGAAACATCAGAAATACTGTTATTGTTATGCAACTTGTGTAGGTCCAGGAGCTGTAGATCCTGTCGTTTGCCACTGCTGGTCTGGGGCTTGGAGTGGAAACCCTTGAAACGGTGGTGGTGGAGGTGCAGAAAAGTTAGACGGAGGAGGCGGCGGCGGAGGTGGGAAGGATGTCGGAGCGGCGGAAGCAACAGGGATCGGCAGAACAGGTGGTGGGGGAGGCGGGGGAGGAGGTGGCATGGCACCATGAACCATAGACTGCCCGAATCCCACCAAGGCGGTTTGAATTGGCGGAGGTGGGGGCGGCGGCATGACTAGAGATCCAGCAGGTATTGTGATAGATGTCATGGTTGGAACTGAATGGGCCATAGTCCCTGCAAGCAGAGCGGGTGGGGGCGGAGGAGGAGGAGGTGGTGGAGCATCTGCAAACAGCTGATGTGGGCGCTCAGCCTAGGAAAAAAATTTGAAATATGAGTTAACTTGAAATTTTATGTAATTCATAAGCAGAAGAATTGACTTGGTGTTTACGGCACTCGGTTTTTAACCAGAAAGTTACAAACTAGAGTCCTCTAGTTATTTTGCTTTGGACAGCTGGATAGTACCACTAGCGCTCACACAAGCAAGCGGGATCAAAACATATACTCGGTGACTGAGTTACATTATTTTATTAAAATAAATAAGTGTATAGAAAAAGGTTGTAGGAAACCGTCGATCAGCAAATTCTATTTCACATTGATTGTGCCTAACAATAAGTTACTAATTTTAATCGAACTGTTAGTGGCAAATTAAACAGCTTTTAACTACAAGAAGTGAATTCGCCACTCAGTTATTATCAGTGAAGTTGTTAATAAATTACCTGTAAGTATTTAGTATTACGAAACTGATCTAATAGCTGATGTGTTTCTATGAATATTATCAATGAAATTACATAATTTCTGCAGGGATTTAGAGATAAGAAATGTAATTGGCATTTACCAAACGAACTCGGGCAACTCGACAAGTCACTGCAATACAGAAATCTGTATACTGTTTCCATGCGTTTTGTGTTGATTTCTAACGTAATTTCACTCAATTACCATATTATTAATCATTTTAAAAAGAACAATCAAGATAAAAAAAGTAATGTGATGAAGGACTGGAATAGTTTCTATACAGTGAGTTGTTGGCTGTTACTCGAAGCGACTCTGATATGGAATTTTCAGGTTATGGAAAGATTTTATTCCTCATTCACCAATTTTCGAAATTTGGAACTTAATTAATCGTAAAGCTACTTTTTATTTCGTATTTTTATGTACTGATCAATTATTTTCGGAAGCGTAAAATAGTACTACACTGTAACAGAGTGACGTTATATACGCAATGTCATTATATTTTTGGTTTGCATTTGTAAATTACCTACAAAGTATTAAGGAGTATTTAGTGTATTTCATCCATATTTTGATCATTTACATATCACTCATGTTACGCTGTCGGTTAATACAAACGTATTGAAAAGTAATGGTTGTTACCATCACTCATAAAGGAAGCATTGGTCATGAATAATTATTGAGAATTTCAGGTACGAAATTTAAAAAAAGGAAAATAAATGAATTAATGAGAGTGTAAAAGTTAGAGTTTCAGTCAAAATATTACTAACTTAACTGCTTGATTTATTGGATTTTCTTTATCTCGAATTTAAACACGAATTAACAGAGGATAAGAAACTATCCAGTTACATCAAATGAAGTAAGTAAAGCGACAAACGAACGTTGTGTTAAAATATAAACGAGAAATCTGCATCCCCTTGAAAAGTGATTAGTCAGTCAATCAGACGTAACGCAGAACCTTGAAAAGTAATACTTCTGCTTTTGTAAATTAGTAAGCGTTAAAGACTAATATATGCGTCTAACTGCAACAATTAGCTACATAATCAGACAACTTTCACAGTCAGTATGTGTCACTAACAACTGCAACCTTCAGATGAGGAATCATTTTGTGTTAATTAAAAGCTAGTGAAAGGTTAAACAACTGTTTTAGCTCATATTGTATTGTAGGTCTAATAATGTACATATTGTAAAAATAGTACAAATAACCACGTCAATTCAGTCTGATCAATTTCACTTACTTGAGAAAGAGGACTTTGGGCAGCTAACAAACGTTCAGCAGCTGAGCCATGGCGTTCACCTTTACTGTCTTTTTTGAATGCATATGAGATAGTGATGGCTCGATTACAAAGATACTGTCCGTTCATCGCTTCAATCGCTGCATCACTAGCTTCAAAACTTGCAAAATTGATAAATGCGTACCCTTTAGAATTTCCTGTTTCAGGGTCACGCATAATTTTTGGAGTTTGCAGTATAACACCAAATGCACTGAAAGTATCGTACAGTAGCTTTTCATCTACCTCAGGATCTAAGTTGCCAATGAAAATATTAGCACCTATATCAAGATTTTTCTGATTCGCTGATGCTTTATTTACGCGAATAGGCTTCCCATACAATTTAATCATGTTCATAATACGCATAGCATAGTCGGCATCTTCTTCCGTCATAAACTCTACAAATCCGTAACTAAAACGGATAACAAGATATGGAGGGGGTAAACAACGTAAACTATACGAACCAATGAAAATATCTGACAGAAACCTTTCATTATCAGGAGTCGGTCGATAGTAAATATCAAAAATAAATAAGTTACACCACCTCAAATATGTACCACTAGTGTATTATGAAAAACAGCTGGTCCAAAATAGGTATTGAAGAGCAGTGTTGATTGTTTGTTATTTCTACACTATTGATAACCTGAAAATAAGTCAATGAGTAGCCGAGAGCGCTATTTTTACAGACGATTAGTATCCTTATACAACTGGATACAAGCCCATTAGAGAGTAGTAGATCAACTTGGATACTGGCTACTTTATGTGCATTAAATGATGTAACTCCTAAAGTTTTGTTGGATAGAAATATATTACTGATGCAATAATGTGAGATTGTTTTGGTGAGAAATAAAGCGAGGTTTGAAGCAAATTTTCTAGTAACGGGGACCTTAGAGACATTCAATAGAAGTGTTTCTGCTTTAGATGTACAAGTGATCCCAATGTGGGTATAGCATTAAATCTGAAAGTTGCATAAGGATGACGAAAGTAATGTCATTAGTAAGTTAGTAACAATGTGTAGAATAAATTAACCTATTCACCAGGTACTTGGGTATGAGCCAAACTTCAAGTGTAAGGGCTAATGATACTATCTGGTTGCTCAAACCAAAGTAGATACAACGGGTTTAAATCGAAGGCTTGGTGGTTAAAAGTTGAACTTCTCAGCCACCGCTCTACAACACTGTATACACTGAAGTTTATTAGGGATGGTCTGAAGCCGCTACCCAGAGTCCCGGTAGTTGAAAGTTGACAACCTAAACCACTAGGTTGCAATGCGAATAAAGAGATGAAAGTTATTATTAATTGGTAGGATAGGTTGTGCTGATAATTGGTTAGAGGGTAAAAATGACGTGAAATTACTTTTGCTGGTAAGAATGAAGACGAACTAATCTTATTCATTACAATCAGCCATAGTCTGATTACCATAAGAAATCTGTTACGATTAACATGGTGGGTAAATAATTGATAACTATCAGTTAATTGCAAACAAAAAATGTACGATAGATTTGATGACCGAGTAATGTTATTAAGTACGAACTATTATTATTATTTATACGAATATTCGTCAAGATTAGAACGAATAGTTTGACAGTAATTGAGCGCCGAGTATAGAGAAGTCATTATATGTGAAAATTATATTTGAAATATTCTCAGCGATTGAAATATAACTAATTCCAACGTTTCGTCCAGCTAATTTGTCTGGACTTTTTCAGGGTATTATTATTATTATTTGAACACAAATACTGGTACATAAGGGCACCAGATACATATGCGCCACACAAATCTCATTTGACTTGTGTGAGGGATGTGATACTGCACGGGTGCCCAAACCGAAGCAGGTGGCTTTCTTAAAGGGCCACTCCCGGAGTCTTTGACCTAAAGGTCTGATCCACAAGGCAGTGGAGCATCGTAAAGAGATACAGTCCCATGGTAGCCGGTGACCAACGATTGGTTCATACGCCATTTGTTCCTTCAGGGTACTGGAGCCCATGTGCACCATTGGTTCGGAATCAGGGTTACCGTCCGTGTCCACCGACCTAACTAAAGAACAGGACTTTCGCTTTTCGTCCTCTCAATTCCATAAACAACATTCCCTGCCACGAGAAGGCAGTGAGTAGGACTTCCATGGCAGAGGCTATATACGCGTGGCCATGTGAGAGCATTTCGAGAGGGAGAGTGGACTATACGGAATTTTAAAGAAGTATATGCTAATTAGGTACAAGTTAAATGAATCAAAGCACTGATGGACCAAACTGATAGAATCTAGATAGCAATATGAAAACGATTTTAATGCTGATACACACCACTTAACACTAATAATACCAACGTCTATGATCGTACATCGAAGTGACATAACCATGAATACTCTACTTCTGGTCTTCAAAATTTTAGAACTTTATGTCTGCTTCTACTGTTAACTTGATTGATTATTATTTGTAAGTTATAAGGCTGTTTATGTCTCACCTGCTGATAACTTTAACTCATCTATAACCTTATAAGGATCTATATCATTTTTTTCGTAAATCTAATTCTGATGTATGAGATACTGTGAGGTGATTTTGGATTCTGGTAAATCAGTTGATGAGGTTGTGAATCTACATCGACTGAGATGGTTGGGCCACGTATAACGCATGCTCAACCACCGATTAGCACGACACGCAATGCTGACTAGTTTTGGAAACGGATAGAAGGGAATTAGGGGCAGCCAAACTAAAGCGTGGCATCAATCCACAAATCCACCAACTTCTGGTGTGATTCGTGTTGGTAGATGCAGTTTACTTTCCTGAAGTCAGCGCGACTATCGTAGCCAATGATTGAAGACTGTGTGACGGCTCAGAACCGATCATAATAGAGTAAGTGTACACACTCTTAGTCTTCTCTTAAACCGTGAGACTAAAATTACTTTATATCTTTCTTTCTACGAACTAATTCTTCTTCCCTGTATGAAATCATTTGTACTACCACTGAAGTAACTGCTTCTATGAATTTGTCCATCTTGCTGTGCTAATGAGATATGACGACTTGGACCGATACGCATATGTGCCTGGTCGTGGGTTGTAGCTGACTGACTGATTTTAGATCTGATATTTTCTTTCAAACAGGCTGGCACAATCAGTAGATGTCTTAGAATTTAAAAGAATGAACAAAATGCCTGTGACATACGGATTTTCCTATCGAGTAATCAACTCTTGAAACCCACTACCGAAAATGATGTCCCTACAATCAGCTAGCTAATTCGACACCCACAGTATACTAGAAAAGAGGGCCAGACTCTAATTTAGGGACGAGCCAATCAGAAGCGTTTGAGCAATTTCAATTATTAGTCAATAAGAAGACAGCATAAAGTAAAAATATATTAAAAGAAAGTAATGAATTACAGTGGATATTCTTCTTTTACATGATTTGAAGACTCGTATGTTAGCATCCTAACCCTAACCTTAACCCTCAACTAACACTAACCTTAACCCTAGCCCTAACCTTAACCCTAAACCTTAACCCTCAACTAACACTAACCTTAACCCTAGCCCTAACCTTAACCCTAAACCTAAACCCTCAACTAACTCTAACTCTAACCTTAAACCCTAACCTTACCCGTAAACCTAACCCTAACCCAATGGACGAGTTTCTATTCCATATGCATCGTGAATTCAGAACCTCTGAACCTTAATCAAACTTTAACAAGTTTTTAAATCATGTAAAAGGAGAATACCCACTGTAATTCATTACTTTTATATAATATATTTTTACTTTATACTTTCTTCTGATTGGCTAATAATTGTCAAGGTCACTTGAGATTCGTTCAAAGGTCGTCCTTAAATTAGAGTCTCGCCGAAAAGAGCTAACATAGACTTTTAGCCTTGTTTTGTAAACAATGTCGCAAAGACTTAAATGGTATAATCTAAATTAAAGTTACTATTCAACTGGTCATTAACACCAACAAAAGTATGAATAGGACTCAGAATACTGATACTTAAGTGAATTAATATGCTTCTTGTTTGAGCTTTAACCAAGATAATGTACTGACAAAGATATTTTGACGATCCATCTTTATCAAAAGTTAAGACACGAATCACAAAAATATCACTTGAGAGTAGACAGAAAAATTACTTATGCATAAAGATTAGGAACGCTTTAGTATGTTACCATACTCAGTAACTAGCTGTAATCAAGAAATGGTGCATATATAAGTCGACAATATAAGAATGATCATTGATGTGGATGAATAATCACAATCATGTTTTACACATGAGTGATGGAAAATATTAAGCTCGAAAAGAACAACTGAACTGCAGTGGTCGAAAAGGTATAAAGTAGACCATCCCACAACCAGACAGGATATTTGTTGTAATAAAGTTAGCCAAACACATATCTTTCATACTTATTAAAAAACAACTGTAGCCTAAGTCATTTACTGCGTGATGAAAAGAGTAGCTGGAAATGAGTTGCAGTTATGCCTAATGGTAAATATATGGATTATTCTCTAGTACTTACCAATTCAAATGGATGCTAACCACTTAAAGATTTTGTGAAAACGAAATGCTAGTGATTAGAAGTCATTTTTCAACTGTTATTATCAGTTCGTAAACCTGTTAGTTACATATAAACCAATAAAACTGGGCATAAATTCACTGACAAACGTACCCCTGATGCTGCATGTTTATTCGGTCTTTAGGCATGTGAACGTTAACTACTGGTCCCGCCTGAAGAAAAAGTTCCCAAAGGATTGATTCGTTAACTTTTTCGTCCAATCCACCAACATATATTGTGGCGTCTTGATTACGCTCTTCCATAACCCCAATAGTCATTTTCCTAGTACAACTGCACAGTTGTGGCGAAACTTTAAACTTTCGCGGCGACTCAATAACATTGTCACGAGTTTGATTAAACTAAAAGACTCCTTTGCCCTCACTTATGTTTCGGTACAGTTGCGGGTATTCGGTAATGTCTAGTGTATGGTAGTCAAGCCATTCCACTGCATTAATTCTAGTCAACGTAGTATTAGTATGTGGGTTTGTATATCTTGTAGTGAGGTGAAGAAAATTCTTTTTTCTTCTCAGTGTTGAGTGAGACTATGGTAAGTAATATTGAACTATGGTCAATATTTCCTTTTGTTGCGCAGACATTGACATCATCAACCAGAAGGTGATTATTTGCCAACAAATAAGCTTGATGTTTTTCCGTTCCGTTCCCATTTCGTGATGTCACCTGAATTTTTATTCCGTCCTAAACTTCTAATGACTCTGACAAGCTGCCTATGGAACCGCCCTGTAAGGGCAGTATCCTACTTGCGGAGATGTACGAGTGGAGTGTTGATACTTCCAGCTAGTAGAATTTTGTCAAGCTCAGGTAAAATAGCGTTAGTATAGCCTGTAATGTCTCATTTTTTTGGGTGTTGGAACCTGTGAGGAGGGCCAGCATATTCCTTCAATCCAATATGTCGTGCCTTTTACACTGGTACGACTCCAAAATGATTCTGTCACCCCGGTTAATTCGGTAATGTGTAATGTTGTGGTTTTGAAGTGACTGTTGGTGTATATTGTAGCGGTAAATAAATCCCCAAAATAAATAGCACTAAGTTTTCGACTTTGGATGCTGACCATATGTTTTAGTGGACTCATCTAGCTGAAGGCGCTCGGTCGGGCATCCGCACCAGATCACGTGTAGTAACGCCGTGCTCAACATCAACCACAATCGCTAGCCAGATTAGATCAGAGAATCCCGGTATATTGGTCATCGCCAAATATACTCTTCCGATCTCCTCGACTCTGTCTTTTGATTTCTCTTGGTGGGAACGAAACACATTAGAAGGTGTTACTGGTAGAAGCGTTGTGAAACACTGAATACCTGTGACATCATCAATATTTTTCCTCCGCCTCATGTTTTGTGCACTCTGTCGTATCTGAAAAATGTCCTGTCTTGCAAGCTTACTTCTCAATCCAACATGTAGGATGATAGCCATATTTTAGTGAGGACTATGATCTTCATATCTAATTGAAAACACGCTTCCGATTCCTTCTAGGTTATCTTTAAGTCCTCTATATTGGCACACAGGTACTTGGTGGTTATATTCATCACCTGGTGTTCCGTTACAGGATCTTTCGTCTCCTGAATTTTATTCGGTTTTCATCCCAAGTGTGTTAGCCAGTTCAGTGCGAACTGATATATTTAGTTCCCTCGCTTGTATAGCATATCCCATCAACGAAACCGTGGTATCTGTATTCTGTACTGTGAGTGGGCTACGCCGGTGTCAAGCCCTGGTAAAAGCGAGAGGTCGGGCATGGGGTCGACATCCTCATCCCGTGGAAAAAACTTGCAAGAGAACGACAACTGGAACATCTAAATTAAACTATTCAGACTCTGACTTGGGATTTGTAGGAAAAATTACGACATCTCATGTTGAAAGCCGGGATTTTTGAAAATCATGAGGCCGATGACCCCACTTAAATCAAGAAGAACAATTAGTATAAATACAGGGAATGTTCAAACAAAGTAAAAGTGTAAGAAGACTAACCAATTAGCTGCGCAGTGGAGGAAATACAAATGACGGTGCTCGGAATAAGTGAAACTCACTGGATCAAAGTGGGACAGAAGAAGACAGATTTCAAAGGGGTCTTGCTGTGCACTGCTCACGAAGAAGAAAATGCTCCACATACTCAGGAAGTTGCTCTGGTTCTGTCCAAAGATGCACCTAAAACTCTTATGCAATGAAAATCTCATGGATCCAGGATTATCAAAACATCTTTCATTTGCGAGGGAGGAGGGAATTACAATAAATATTATCCAGTGTTATGCGACCACAAATGACGACAATAAAGACCAGTATTATGAGAGGCGGCAATCGATCACAAAGAAGTGCTCAGGAAATAACCTGACCATCCTGATGAGAGACCTTGTAGTGGTATTTGGCCCTAACTCCACAATCCTCAAAGCTGAACACGAGATAATTTTGGAGATAGATATTCATCATTTAACGCGGAGAAAACCGAACGATGGGGAAGACGGCAACAATGAATCGAATTAAATCGAGTTGGTCGGATGGCATGACTCAACCTCGCAGGCATGGTCGCTCTGTACAACATACTTTTACTCACATTAAACATATTGTTCTCTCTCCAGCCTGGATGTGTTCTCCATTATATATTGGTACTTGTTACGGTGCAATGAGTTGGCGTAGATGATGATGAGACCTCCACGTAAGATCTCATAGATTAGGCAGTTATATGATGGCAAATCTAATATTTTAGGATGAGGTCTATTATTAGAGCAGTACATATAACGAAGTTGACCGTAATCCTACAACCTAAACGCCAAAGTCGGAATGGACAACACCTGTCATGAAGATATCATGAAATGATATGTATTGAGAGATAGGAAAGAGAATGGTGACAGACGTGTAAACCCATGTGCATTCAACTAAGTGGTTGTAGGCGGGACAATATTCGCACACAGACGCATACACAAAGCTACATGGGTCTCACTACGTCACACTACAGATAATCAGATCGATCATATGTGTATCACTAAAAAGTTCAGTAGATCGATGGAAAACATGAGAATCAAGAGAGGAGCGCTTATAGCTTCAGATCAACACCTAGTCGTGGCCAAGAATACACTGAAGCTAAAGAAGCACTAGGCAATTGGACAAACAGCAGTAAAAAGCTTCAATACAGCCCTCATTCGAGATACTGACGAATTCAACGAATACAAAATAACTCCCAACCAAAGGTCCCAAGTCTTGCAACTTCTACTGGAAGAAGACGAAATTACAATAGACAACAAGTGAAAAGGGATAAACGAAGCACTAACCTCAACGTATAAGAGAGTGCTGGGTCGAACAGGCATCATCATACGAAATACTCATTAGCAAACCAGCAAACGATGAAGAGCATTAGAGCTGACAAGCAGAAATACGTGATAGCCCTACAATAAATGCTTCATTTGCAAAATGTTAACCACTTGTCTCAAACTTGACTATTCCTTCTGCAAGTGTCAATTAATCATTTCGCACTCCAGTGGTCATTCGATTCCACACCGATCACTCTATGTTATCGTTCCCCTTTTCCTGATCTCATTAAACTTCTGCCTTCAGGCACATCTTAGACCGATGATACATACTACTTAAATCTGTCGAGGTAAGTAGCACACAGCACAGAACTAGAAGTCAATAATCAACAAGCCAGGCCCACTAGTGAAACTGACGAACGGTGGAACAGGTGGGTAGAGCACTTTAAAGAACTCTTGAACAGACCAATACCACTGAACCCACCAGACATCGAAGCAGCACACACGCACATCCCTATGGTTGCCACTCCATCAACAATAGAAAAAATCAGGATGGCAAACAGATCAACTGTGGGAAAGCAGTAGAACCTGACAACATATCGGCTGCAGCACTGAAGTCAGATATTGAAGTAACTGAAAACATGCTTCACATCCTATTCTGAAAGATTTAGGAGGAGCAACAAATGCCGACAGAATGGAAAGAAGAATACCTCATCAAGATACCAAAGAAAGAAAACCTCAGTAAATGTGAGAACCACAGAGGCATCCTACTACCATTCGAGCCAGCAAACGTTTCCAACAGTGTTGCTGAATCAGATGAATGATTCAGTGGACACTTAGCTTCGAGATCAACAGGTCGGATTCCGTAAGGATCGGTCGTCCACGAACCAAATCGCAAAACTACGGATCATCTTTCAACAATCCATTGAATGGAATTTGTCACTATACATCAAATTAATTGACTATGAGAAAGCGTTTGACGGTGTGGATAGGAGAATATTATGGAACCTACTTCGACTTTATGGTGTAACCAGTTATCTCATCAACACCATCCGGAATTCATACGACGGACTACACTGCGAACTTGTGCATGGAGGACAGTTGACAGATACATTTCAAGTGACAACCGGAGTCAGACGAGTGTGCTTACTTTCCCACTTACTCTTTCTACTGGTGGTTGACTGGATTATAAAGACTTCCATATCTGAGGGGAAGCACGGAATACGGTAGGCAGTTTGGAGGCAGCTAGACGACTCGGACTTCTCCTATGACCCAGCTCTTCTATCCAATACACACCAACAATTGCAGGTGGATACAGCAGGTGTAGCACCAACCACTGTAGCAGTAGGCCTCAACATACACAAAGGAAAAAGCAACATCCTCAAATACAACGTGCAGAACACCAACTCAATCACATTCGATGACGAAACTCTGGAAGGTGTGGAAACGTTCACGTACCTGGTCAGCATCATCAATAAACAAGGAGGATCTAATCCGAGTATGAAGGTAAGGATTGGTAACGAAAGGGCAACATTCCTACAGTTGAAGAACACATGGAACTCACAATAACTGCCTGCCAACCAGTTTCAAAGTCGGAATCTTCAATAAGAATGTCAAAACAGTTCTAGTATGCGGGGCTGACGCTAATACAAATATGATGAACTTCATAGATCTTTACTATTGTAGTGAAACTCGTTATATACGTTATGGCTTATTCCGTCCCTCTTATGTAAATTGAAGTCTAATATGATTCTTGTGCTATGCACTATTATGTATAAGATCATTTGGACATAGAAGTACTATATTACTTTATCACACGAACATATATTTAAAGGTCCTCATATAAGAAACATGCTATAGCATTTTTTAAGTCAGAGATACAAAACTATAAGTGAGAATGAAGCTTTTGACAGAAAATTTTCAAGTAGCTGTTAGGAATAACCACCTGATCAATTATTGTTTTAATAAACGACTGTTTACGCTTTTGGTAACAATGTATCAGCGCTTGTAACGAAAATTCTCATTCCGAGTAACTCTCATGTTTCTGAAAACATTCTCAAGAATTAGAGGAATTCTGTGTTAGTATTTGAATTCAATTGAGTTACTAGCTTTCTATAATTTGCTTGTCGAAACGATTTCAGATGATTATACATCAGCAGTTTAATAATGGATAATATATATGTCAGTATTGACCTAAGATGTCTTAGATCATTCCTTTCTCTTGTTCCATATTAACGTGTTAGATGAAAATAAATTAGCAGCACTAATCTCTGCAGATGACGAAAAGATTTAAAGATCTACAAAGAGCGAAAAGTATTCACTTGAGTTTAAAAAGTACCCTACAATAGAAAAATCGGCAATAGATAAACAGTTCAAACATAACCTGTCGAAATATCACGTCATGAACATTCTTCCTCATTTAACACAAAGCACTCTCATCCTGCGCGCGAATCCTCTCCCAATTGTCTCTTTTGAACGTTCTCGGGCTTACAACCACGGAGAATTAGGACACCAGCTTAAACTACAAAATAATATGTTTCTCGAAGTAATTTCAGAGGCAGGAACTCAATTGGATAAAAGGTCCAAAACAAAAACCTTTCGGGACAGACCCCAACATCCGGGATGATTCTGGTTGAGTTACAAGGGAATGAGAAGTGACCTGATAGTGGCCGAAAATATATTAAGTGCACCGAGCCACCCCAACACTAACATAGTACCATAATATCATTAACACGCTCCTCAAGGCAACCTTCAAAAGACTGCACACCAAAGAACAGATACCCAGATACGCTTATACTTTTTCTCATCAAAGGTTTCTCCCGTTCAGAATGCTCTCCCAGCCGGGGTGACCATGGCCACATCAGTCGATAGCTTTAAGAGCGAACTTGATAAACAACTGCCTATTCACAGATTACCATTCTCCTCTTTGACCATTTGTGTCTGATGCATGTCTCGTAAATTACCACGGCTATCATTACCACATACCAGTAACTACTTCCTACCTCTCTTATTATCATTTCCGTTCCCGCTTTTATCCTTTTGATTCATTCTTCTTACACGTTACGAATCGGGTAAATTATTTGTTTACTCTTGAAACAATCGCTTCAGCTAGAATCCGGATTATCAGTTTGTCATTTGCACATCGAAATCTAAAGCGAAAAAAAGTGGAAATTTCACTTTATTTCCGAATAGCAGACGAAAAAGCAGACCTTTTGGCGCGTTTTTGATCACTTAATTACCTGGGTTGGCTGCTTTGGGACCTAGTTGAAAGAAAGCTAGTGGTTAGTTAATCTAAAAGTGGCATCTTTTTGTAAATTTGTTGACTTATATTATGATCATTGTTGAGCCATGCAGACTATCATCTTGTTCGGGTCAGTGTGATGATCATGATCAGTGGTTCAACACGTTCGTCTGACAATAAGTTCGAAATCCATCTCAATGGTTCAGATGAATTCACTCTTTTTTTCTCTAGATCTACAGTTCTACCATTCATTTATGATTACATTTTCATTATCCTTTCAAACTATATTCGCTTTTTAGTCTTTTTTTAATTGATAATGTTACTAGATTGTTTCGACTCTTAATAATCATCTTGTTGATTCTATCTCGTCACACTAATGTGATGTATCACGTTTTTTAGATCAAATTTGTGACACAGTCTAATTTAATCGTGACTGATCGGCTTTTAATCCGATCCAGCTTTACCTTATAGAAACCAATTATAATGCATGACAAGCGACATATCAAACAACAGAACACTGAGAAACAATACTCACTATTAAAAATAGTAAAGTTTTATATTTCAATTCTGATTTCTTCCACATAATTGGCCCAAAAATACTACGATAATCGTAGTGCAGGCGGAGGCCGAAGCTCTTATGTACTGATGAGTTAATCAGTAAGTAGAGTCATGTAGACAGACTTTAAAAGTCTTGGTGAGTTCTATCAGCCAAGGCTTCGTTAAACTATCCTCCCTACTGATTACCGTTCGTCGTGGATAACGTCAACAAATAGGCTCTTCCATAAATCTACTATATTTCCATGGTAGCATTTAGGTTGTACCATGCAGCTTTTTCAATTTCCTCTTGCACCTTTTCTGCTGTTATTGTCGAGTCTACGAGCTTCCACTTTACAACTCTGCTGCTTTTCTCTACTACTTTGTTCGCTTCTGTATATTCGGCATGTGACTCGACTTTTCGTGCTTTTTCTCGGATGCTGCCGTAGTGGTTAACGTTTATCAATAGATTATTATTATTTAGTCTACCTATTTAGGTATCAACGATCTATATTGTTTTAGAAGTTAGTTAACCTTAATCGTTTTTTCGCAATAGTATAGTGGTGGTCTAAAGAATTATCGACCAGTGTTTCTGATTTTTTAAATTTGGTTAACTTTGCTTATGAGAGAGAAATAACCCCAAATGCCGTGGTAGGGATGAGGGTGGGAAGAGTCAACTCTCCCTCTCGAAGTGCCTTAACATGGCCACGCGTATACAGCCACTAACAGAAAAGTCTTACTCACTGCCTTCTCGCACCACGGGTATTGTTTACGAAATCATGAGGACGAAAAGCGAATGTCTGGCGATTTAACCTGGTTGGTGGACACGGGAAGTTCACATAGGGGAGCTTGAAAACCCTGGTTCCAAGCCAACGGTGTACATGAGATCCAGGATCCTAAGGAAACAAATGGCGTATTGTTGGTCACCGGCTACCATAGGACTGTATCTCCTGATGTTGCTACGCTGCCTTGTGGATTAGACCTCTGGGTCAAAGGTCCGGGGGATGGGCCACTAAGAAAACCACCTGCTTTGGCTTGGGTACCCGGTCAGTATCCCAACCCTTACATGAATCAAGTGGTTTGTGTAACGCATATGTATTTGGTGCCCGTTTGTACCAATATTTATGTGTTTAAATAAACAAAAATAAATAAATAATAACTTGACGAATAAAAGTTTGTCACTCTAACAATAATTGGGTATAAAATCTGTTACCTGACAAAAAGTAGATTATGATCAGCAAATAGACTTTAGAGTACATTAGATCTAACTGAAAAAATTTGACAGTTATGGTTGGAGTTATAATAAGTTATCTTTCAATTTCATTTATTATTATTATTATTATTCAGCTTATCAATCATAGTAATTTTTTTACACAAACGCCAAAGAGTATCTCAGTATGACGTCAATATTATCCCATCATCCTGTATTTGTTAATAACTATACAAATCTGTACAAACCAAATCTAATAAACCATAATCTGAAATCAACTGATGAAACCAACTTCAAATGTACAAATGGTCCAACGTACAATGTTGATTTATTACAATGGCAAGCGAACACATCAAGCAGTTCATTGGATCGGTTACGATTGCGCAGTAAGTATCAGTTTCATTTTCAAAATTGAACTTCTGTTTTCTAATTTTAACAAAAGATAAGAACTAATTTTAATGTCTTTATTTTAGCTAGGACGGTTTTAAATTGAAGGAGTATTTTGAATCTTAATCGGCTTAAATGATCTCCTTTAAACTAAAGGAGGTGGATAGCCTATTATTCAAACAAAAAGTAGATATACAGTGGATGTAGATAAAAATATCACAATTTGTGTGACTCTAAAAAAGGACAGGAACTTTGACTGGGTTACAAAAACGTTGACATACTAAATCTTTTGTTATTTGAGTTTAATGTTTAACATGCTGGTTAAATTTCTGACCGATTTTTTGTCATACGAGAACGACTTACAAGGGAGTAGCTCTCGATTCTATATTTTTTATGTTGAACATGTCTCAATGGATTCAGACTTGTAATTCATTAGGTTATGGTAATTTTCTGTCATAATTGAATGTTAAGTTTGTTTTTAGTAATTTTCTCGAACAAATATGATATTTTATGCCATTATTTTATGATAAATTAAATTGCAATGGTTGAGATGATGGGTCAGTTGAAGCTAGACCACCATGAAGAACCTGGAAGCACTGGATCTAGCTATAATTGACTCATGATCTCAACCATTGAAATTACTATAATATCCGCAAGAACCCTTCTGATATAAATTGAATTGTTTGGAAAACTTTTAAAAACTACTTCATGACTCATAATTATCGTTGAGTATTTAAACTATAGTTTACAGAGAAGTTATGATCTACGTTGTGCATATCAACTGGACTACATCAGTCTTCCTAAGTTCAATCATCAAGAAATCATAGATGGTATGAAGTACTGACATAAATATGCAACGCTTAGAAATGTTGGCAGTAAAACACGTTGGGTTTTCTTTTTGGTGTATTTCGAAGCTTATCAGCTGAAGTTAGAAGGAAATAGTCCCCGATTTTTAGTTTCATTTCAGGATTATTAACATTCAACGACAGTTGATTAGGTAGTGCATATTTTTTGTATGAATAACAATAAATCAGGAATGACTTCTTATTAACTATAATGATGCGTTACAACCACACAGATAAGTTTATTGTATTTGAATTTGAGTTGAAGTATTAATATCTTAATTGTTTCAAGAATGAATATGCTTTCGGGAGAACACTTTATTGAGAATAAAAGTTTCAAATGATGGAACAAAAATCATATTTCGTAGCTATCTAGTCAGGTGGCTTCATAAAAGCGTCCATTATAATGAAAACCTTCAGTGGGTGAGCTACTTTGTTGATTCAATTTTCATGATTAGATATAAAGCCTTAATGTTCATGGGTTTAAGCATGAATAAGTATAATTTGAGTTTTTATTGTACTGAAAATATAGATGGTGCTGAATAAGTGAATACACATCTATGGATCCAAGACGCTGGAATTTCCGACTAACTTGCTTAAACACTTCGATTAAATCCAACCTTATTTGACGCTGAGGATCATATTATGCATTCCTCCCATTTACGCTAATAAACTGACTAGTCATTTTTTATTATAATGCATTGTACGTGGTATCCAGTGATTAAAAGCTATCTGTAAATAGCTGTCTGTAAGTCTTTCAGGGTTACTGCCAGTCTCAAGCCCGGATAAAGGAGGGTGGTTGGGAATTGGATCCCCAACCGCATCCCGCAGAAAAGAAACTGTACTAAAAAAAGACGCTAACTAGCAAATAGTCATCCAGTTGTTTTGCATATTGATTTAAAATTGATTAAAAAGTTATTTCTGGAATTCTTCACAACTTAGTCCCATACTGAGAGATAGTAATATCAAGTGAGCTTTCTAAATAAATTTCATTTTATTTACAACTGTATTCTGGAAAACTGTATCTATTTTTCATGTAAATTATCAGATAATCGTCGAAAAGATTATATTCGTGAAAATATTCGCCAACTACGACAATTAGAAGACAGTATAACATTTAAAAAACGTGTTGCAGAACAATGTGGTAGATCAGTTCTCTCAACAGATCGTACACAAAACAATACATGTAACAGATTTATTACATGTCATCATGCACAAACTAGACAGTTCCAACCAAATGAAAATCTTATATCTTCGGAGGTAATAAAAACAACTAGAGATTTTTTACTTAATATAATGTTTGTATGGTAGAAATTTCGACTTACTTACTTACGCCTGTTACTCCCAATGGAGCGTAGGCCGACAAACAGCATTCTCCAACCCACTCTGTCCTGGGCCTTCTCAATTCTATCCAATGTTTGTTGATTTATCACATGTCTGTCTCCATTTCTCGACGTAATGTGTACTTTGATCTTCATTTTTTCCTTTGACCTTGAGGATTCTATGTGAGAGCATGCCTTGCGACGTATTTGTGTGCTTTTCTCAATGTGTATCCTATTCACTCCCATCGCTACTTCCTGATGAATTCCTCCCATGGTAGGTTGTTGCTAACAGTGTCTAGCCAACGGATGCGAAGTATTTTGCGTAGACAACTGTTAGTAAACACTTGTATCTTCTGGATGGTTGCTCTCGTAGTTCTCCAAGATTCCGCCCCATACAGCAGAACTGTCTTGACATTTGTATTAAAAATTCTGACCTTGGCGTTGGTTGACAGATCTTTGAGTTCTAGATGTTCTTCAGTTTTAAATATGCTGCTCCTGCTTTGCCGATCCGCGCCTTCACATCTGCATCAGATCCACCATGTTCATCAATGATACTGCCCAGATATGTTGAGGTTTTTACATCTTCCAAATCTTCTCCGTCAAGTATGTTTTGGTTGTTGCATGCTGTTTTGTATCGGAGAATTTTGCTTTTCTCTTTGTGTATGCTGGGACCTACTGCTGCTGAGGTTGCTGCTATACTGGTCGTCTTCTCCTGCATTTGTTGTTGCGTGTAAGATAGAAGAGCCAGATCATCTGCGAAGTCTAGATCGTCCAACTGCGTCCTAGCTGTCCACTGTATCCCATGCTTCCCCTCAGATGCTTACATCTTCATGATCCAGTCGATCACCAGGAGAAAGAGAAAGGGTGAGAGTAAGCAACCTTGCCTGACACCGGTCTTTACCACAAACTAGTCTGCCAATTGTCCTCCATGCACGATTTTGCAGTTTAATCTGCCATATGAATTCCGTATGATATCAACAATCTTCTCAGGTACGCCGTAGTATGGAAGGAGCTTCCATAGTGTTGTCCTGTCCACTCTATCAAATGCTTTCTCGTCGTCAGTGAAGTTGATGTAGAGTGACGAATTCCATTCAATTGATTGTTCCACAATGATCCGTAATGTTGCGATTTGGTCTGTACGCGATCGACCCTCATGGAATCCTGCCTGTTGGTCTCGAAGTTCGTCCTCTCTGAGAATGCTGCTGGTCTCAAGCCTGGATAAAGGAAGAGGGTTGGGTATGGGGTTAGCAACCACATCATATAGAAAACTAACTCGCTAAAAAACGCTAACCAGAAAAAATTATTCGAAAATTTCGACTATTTTCCATTAAAACTCTCATCACTGAAGTTATAACTTCTCATTAAGACTTTGAAACAATACACCTTTAATCGTATCACTGATATGAGTAGTAAAGTAGCCTTCATTTCAATTACCTTACATTAAGATTGTTTAAATGTTTGTTGAATTCCTGTTTATCTGTCGTTATCTTTAATAGTTAAATATATGACTTAAATCTTAATAAATTTAATTACATGTGTATATCACTCAGCAGTCAGTTAATGCTTTAAAGTTAATTTAAGAAAGTTATCAGCATATACTCATTAGTGACTAGCTTCAACAAGTATTTCCTAGAGTTCTAGTGGGAAGCAGTGGCCAGTGGAGTTCAACCAGGTCTGTTGTGAGATAGTAACTCACTGATGACAATGTTGGATGTGTCGTTCGATTTCGCGAATTAGTTGAAGTTAGGCATTAACACCATTGGATGCCGGCTCAGTAGTCTAGAGGTTAAGTGTTCACGCACGAGACCGATAGGTCATGAATTGAAATCTCGCAAGGCGTGATCGTGGATGTGCACTGCTGAGAAGTCCTACAATATGACGAAACGACCGTCCAGTGCTTCCAGGTCTAGCTTCAATCGACTTATGATTTCAACTATTGAATTATTTTTATCATATAATAAACTGATTACTGTTAAATAATTGTGTTCAACAATGATTTTCTATTTGCTTATTAGACTGGATTTAATACATCAATTCAGTCATTATCAAGAACTGTCCCAATCAAATCTAGTAAACAAAATAAATATAATATTGATTTAAACAAAACTGATAATCCCAAATATCTACAGTCAAATAACTCATCAATATCTACACAAACTGATAATTATATAGATCAATCGAAGCAAACTATTCCCCCACATATGCCTAATTCACATAGTGTTTCTTCCAAAAATAAGGGACAATCTCATCAATCTTTATCACTAAGAACAAATAAATCTGATAAAAAAATACAACGAACAACATTAACACCAATTCAACCAACTAAAAAAACAGAATATTTACGTGCACATTCTCGTGATATTGATGATGAAGTTGATCTAAAATATTTAAGTAGTATACCTATTTCACCTATACATAAACATTTAAATTCAGCTAAAACATCTGTACCAAAGCTGAATCAGCTAAAAATGTAAGTTTATTTATTAAATCTAATCTATGTTATCTAAAATAACGAAGACGAGATATTCGATTGTCAAATAGAGGATGAGTATACTGCGTGACAGTTCGTTCTGTTCTACTTTACGGCTGCGAAACGTGGCCATTAAGAGTAGAAGATAATCGTAAGTTACTAGTACTTGACCACAGATGTGTTAGAAATATTTCTCGCATCTGCTAGGATCACCAGATAAGTAATAGTGAGGTTAAACGCAGGGTATTAGGGAATGATGGTAAATCATTTGATGAGGTTGTGAATCTTCATCGACTGAGATGATTGGGCCACGTGTTACGTATACCTGAACACCGATTACCACGACGCGCAATGCTGACTAGTGTTGGGGATGGTTGGAAGAAAGGTAGGGGAGGCCAAACCAAAACGTGGCATCAGTGCTTGAAGTCATTAACTTCTGATGTGATTCATGTTGGTAGATACACACTATTTTGCTGGTGTCCGTGTGACTATTGTAACCAGTGGTTGGTGATTCTGGATGACGTGGCTCAGAACCGATCACAATGGTGTAGTTTATACAATCTCTGTCTTCATTTAAACTATGAGATTAAAATCGTCTCATATCTTTCTTTCTACGAACTAATTCTTTCTTCCTGTACTATATCGTGATATGCAATCTTTCTTTTACATATTACCACGATTGAAATGACTACTTTAATGGACTTGATTTTCATCTCGTTGTGTTAATGAGGTATGGAAACTTGGACCGATGCATATATGTGCCTGGTCCTACGTTGTAGTTGACTGACTGACTTACAAATAACGAATTCATGGTCATAGTGATAAAAATATAAGTAAACGTATTTCACTAAAATCAATATTAATTTTCAGTGCTAAGTAATGTCATCTATAGGACCACCGAGAACGAAAAAGCCGGTGAACAAGTGTCCCATTTTAACTTTCAGCTCGTCAAAATTTTTCCTCCATGGGTAAACCAGGTATGGAGTTAGCATTGATTTTTAGTAGTTTTATATGTAACGACAGTCCACCATAAAAATTCTATTATTAATCAGTATAAGATTATCAGAACTATATTTATAGTTCTGATAATCTACGTTTTCTTATTACACTATCGAGATTTAGGTAGGATAGATAAGAGAGCGAACATGTGCCATAAAACAGCTCAAAAAATAAAACGAGTTGGCAGACTGAAGGATTAGATAACCGCTTCTGAACTCCGAGATCTGGCTTGAATTAATGGGTTTCCAATGCCTTTACTATGTAACATTTTCCTATCCAGCTTCCATTAGAACTAGTTTGTCTGACTTTATCAATAATTGCGAATAAAGATTTTGGTGGAGATAGATGATCAAATTAACTAGATGTTCAGTAATCGAGTTATCGACGGATTTAGATTCACCTTTATTACCTGTGCTAGAAGGTGTTCGGATATGCGTTTGAAAACAGAATGCTTTATGCAGCCAATATAATATACTCCACAGCGGCAGGTTAACTGATGGATGGACACTGAAGTGCTCCAAAACGAGAGTTAATCCTCGACACATCCTTGAGTCAGGCATATACTGAAAAAGAACTCATTTGAATAAAAAACTGGGAATTTCGATAATTAGTTTCTTAACATCTATGCAGTCGCATCCTCTTTGAACTAAATGTCCATAAGAAATATTTTTCGTAGAGTAGGAGTTCCTTCAACTAGGTGTTTTGGTTTTAGGCTACTGCCACTGAAGCAGGGAGAAAATCCACTTCCTGATATTTTTCAATTGTTTTGTCGATCATGTCTTCAGTACATTATTCTAGCTCTCAAGAATAAAGATAATTTTCTCTTTGTAGTAAATGTAATTGAACTTTGCGCGCTCCATATTGACTTTCTATGTATAGACCTTTATGAATAGATGTACGGTTTTTTTCTTAGCTAAACATCTAGAAACTCAAATTCTGCGTTTATTTCTGACTCAAGTATGAATGTAGTCGGCTAGTGGGGTCTATTGCACACCTGTAGTATTTTATTAAGACAATTGGAGGCTGTTGAGTAATACAGCAGATTGAATGGAGTTCAACTTGCACATGATTGGATTCCTGTTCAGTGGTTCGAAGCTTAGGTATTCAGGGGCAAGACTGAAGGTCCCTGATGGCAAGGTCGTGGGTGCTCATTGTTGAAGAGTTTCATGCTAAGAAGAAGCAGACGTTGTGGTTCCAGATTCTCAGTGGTTGTCTAACTCTGATCATTTCGAGATCTCAATAATATCATAAGCATTTTTTGCTTCCTAAAAAATAGACAGTTTTATGATTTGAATTATTTTCTATATTAATAGGTTGAATTTATCAGACGTGATATTAATTTTGTTCGTGCTAATGCTCATATGGCAACAGCACCAAGTGTAAAAAGAACTGGAATTCGACGGATAGCAAGTATGAATTCTTTATCGTTAAATGATAAATCTCATCTAACGGATTCAATATAACAAAGTCACAAATATCACATACATCAAGAATGTGGCCTGAAAGACGATTAAAAAGTGGGGTTATCCCACCTTAGTAAGTTTTATTAGTCTATCCATGTTACATCATATTTAATTAATCAATTATCTGGACCAAAAAATATTATTTACTTACTTACATTTGTTACTCCCAATGGAGCATAGGCCGTCGACCAGCATTCTCTAACCTATTCTGTCCTGGACCTTCCCAGTTCTATACAATTTTTGTTGATTTTTCTCATGTCTATCTCCATTTCCCGGCGTAATGTGTACTTTGATCTTACTTTTTTTTCCCTTTGACCTTGAGGATTCCATGTGAGGTCATGCCTTGTGACGTAGTTGGGTGCTTTTTTCATCTCATTTAGGAAAAAATATTACACAACAATTTATCCTATAAGGATTTCTAATGTGTTAAGAAAGTTATCCGCATTAATTAAATAGAATTCGGCTTAGTAATACCATCAGTTTGTACTGAATTATATAAATTCGAATAGTCAACTATTACTCTTTTCTTTAAAACGTTGTATTTGAGTGTGATAAAAATCAATCAAATTATACTGTATATATACGTATGAATGAACTATGAGAATGATTAGTGAGGTAGTTGATTGAGTTTTTAGTATCTCATAGTTGGAATATTGTATAATCTCTAATATGATAACTTGCATAGCTTGTCACCATTAGGAGATCCGAATGGTTATAAATGGACTTGTTTACTCTAGTTTAGGACATCGCTATTGTGGATAGACGATTAAGGAGAATTTCAGTTATTCGATTGCTTTTTAAAACATGTCTTGTCCATAACAAGATAACTTGATGAGCCAAAGAGAAGAAGACACTTAGTAAAGTGAGGAATCTGTATACATCTGGTTGACTTGACTACGTGATAACCTTCCCAGTTACTGTCTTTTCTGATGTTTGATATTGTTTGAAGTTGGTAAGGTACTTAGGACAAGACAACATCAAAAATGACAGAATGCCTGCAAAAATATATGGGTATTTCATTTTAATTTCGTAGTGAATACATATGCTGTTCTATTGTATGTAGCCCAAGGATCATTAAGTTTCGCATGAAACACTACTGTTCATTCACTGTAATGTAAAGCTATTGTTTAGATATTTGAAACTCACTAGTTATTCACTGTCATCATTGGTACCCGGATCCCTGTTGATCTAGTTAATTTTATGAGTCATGAATTCCCATCAAAACTTCATGACGTCGCATTATAATACACAAACCTATTATTCAAATTAAACATATTTATACAAACACCTCATTAAAACATTGAATTAGTCAAATATTGAGTTATTTATGCATGATAAAAGAGTAAAAACCTAATAAAGCTATTTAATATATAAACTGATTGTCTACAATAAAATAACAAGTAATGTACATGAATGTATCGTCATTTCTCTCTAGCCTAATCAAAATGAAACAAAAAGAAAAAGAACGGATTCAAAAAGAATTGGAAAACCAGCCTGATCCAGATCAACCTCCAGGACATCAGAGAATGCCAGAAGAAGAACGTTTAAATACATTAGAATTGCTTAACAAAGGTATTAATTCATAGATGTGATTTTCATCCAAATATAAATGAAATCAGATATTTTATTCAGAATAATATGTAAACAGTATATGATATGTCGTACTTGCTTACTCCTGTTACACCTCGAGGAGAAATATAAACCGCCCACCAGGATTGTCCATCGAAATCTGTCTTGCAAAATCCTTCCCAGTCGTTATTCATCCTTTTCATATCTGCTTCTGATTCGCGATGCAAGCTGTCCCTTGTTCTTCCTATTTTTGTTTTTCCTTCAGGATTTCAAGTGGGCTCTTGCCTCGTGATGCAATCTGATGATTTTCTCAATGTATGTCTTGTCCACTTCCAACATCTTTTCCTAATTTCCTCTTAATCCGGAAGCTGGTTTGTTCTCTATAGAAGAGCTAGGTCATATGAGAAGCCCGAATCGTCTAGCTGCATCCAAACTGCCTACCGTATTCCGTGCTTCCCCTCAGATATGGAAGTCTTTATAGTCCAGTCAACCACCAGTAGAAAGAGTAAGTGGGAAAGTAAGCACACTCGTCTGACTCCGGTCGTCACTTGAAATGTATCTGTCAACTGTCCTCCATGCACAAGTTCGCAGTGTAGTCCGTCGTATGAATTCCGGATGGTGTTGATGAGATAACTGGTTACACCATAAAGTCGAAGTAGGTTCCATAATATTCTCCTATCCACACCGTCAAACGCTTTCTCATAGTCAATTAATTTGATGTATAGTGACAAATTCCATTCAATGGATTGTTGAAAGATGATCCGTAGTTTTGCGATTTGGTTCGTGGACGACCGATCCTTACGGAATCCGACCTGTTGATCTCGAAGCTAAGTGTCCACTGAATCATTCATCTGATTCAGCAACACTGTTGGAAACGTTTGCTGGCTCGAATGGTAGTAGGATGCCTCTGTGGTTCTCACATTTACTGAGGTTTTCTTTCTTTGGTATCTTGATGAGGTATTCTTCTTTCCATTCTGTCGGCATTTGTTGCTCCTCCTAAATCTTTCAGAATAGGATGTGAAGCATGTTTTCAGTTACTTCAATATCTGACTTCAGTGCTACAGCTGGTATATTGTCAGGTTCTACTGCTTTCCCACAGTTGATCTGTCTGCCATCCTGATTTTTTCTATTGTTGATGGAGTGGCAACCATAGGGATGTGCGTGTGTGCTGCTTCGATGTCTGGTGGGTTCAGTGGTATTGGTCTGTTCAAGAGTTCTTTAAAGTGCTCTACCCACCTGTTCCACCGTTTGTCAGTTTCAGTGGTTGGCTTTCCTTGTTTGTTATTGGCCGCTAGATCTGGTTTACTAAATATCCTTGTTAGTTTATTCATTGTGTCATACAGTTGTTTCATATTTCCCTTCTCTTGCTACTCCCTTCACTGTCGTTGCTAGGTGTTCCACATACTTCCGTTTATCAGTTCTAATGCAGATCTTCACTCGCTTATTTAGCTGTTGTTAATTGCTGTCTTGTTCTTCATTTCTCGAATCATGTCCAGGGTTGTGATAGAGATCCATTCGTGACTATTTGATTAGTTCTTCCAGTATGCCACATTGTACGGATATTTCATGTGCCTGTAATAATTGTTGCTTTGGTTGTTAGAGGGGCCATTAGCCTCATGATTTTGAAGAATCTCGGCTTTTACCATGCGGTGTCATAGTTCTTGTAAATGAAGATCCTTCAACTCCCAGCTCAGAGTTTAAGTTGTTTATTCTGCTCAGCGTTTTCTCCATCAAGCTTGTTTTTCTACAGGATTGAGATGCTGACCCAACGTCCAACCCTTCTTCTTTATCCGGGCTAGAGACCGGCAGTGTACAAACAGGCACCTAGCCTACTGAATATTATATATGTAATTACCTTTCCTCCTATTTATTTCTACTTCAGATTCACTGAGTTTAATTGTTTGTAACTGTATTGACTAAAGTATTATCTATTGTTAATATAGTTCTCTATTCTGGGTCTTGAATCCTGGGTCTAATCTAACGTGATTAGTCTCATTATCGTATTAACGTATTATCGTAGTGTACTTGAGAAAAAAGAGTGTTTCGAACCATCCGTTATATCAGTTTACAAATTATGTTGAATGAAATGACAAGGGAATAGATATTAACTTTCCTTTTATTTCGATAATGATATTAGAAGACGAAGATTATCAGAACTATAGTTCTGATAATCTTCGTCTTCTAATATCATTATCGAAATTTATCAAAGGGACTAATTGTTTTAAATTTCCTTTTATTCTCTTTCTCAGTAGTGCTTAAGGGTAAATATTTTTCGAAAACTAATACTGGTAGGTTTTTGTCAATGCGTTTTTAAGATAGATGGTTTAATGGTGATTTTATTTTGCCGTTCTGGACACCAAATCAGTACCTGCTTCACACTATTATTATTATTTTATTATTTAAACACATAAACTTTGGCACAAGGAGGCACCAAACAGGTATGCGCCAAATAAATCATTCGATTTGTGTGAGGGCTGAGATACTTCCCGGGTGCCCAAACTGAAGTAGGTGGTTTCCTTAGGAGGACACACCTGGAGCCGTCGACCTAAAGATCTGATTCCCAAGGTAGTGGAGCATGGTAAGGAGATGCAGCCCCATGGTTGCCGGTGACCAACGATCGGTTCATACGCCATTTTTTCCTTCAGGATCCTGTAGTCTATTTGTATCATTTGTTTGGAATCAGGGTTTTCCAACTTCCGTAGGTGGATCCTACATATCCACCAACCCGGTTAAAGCGCCGGACATTTGCTTTTCGTCCTCTCAATTTCGTAAAAAAACATCCACGCTGCGAAGGAGCAGTGAGTAGGACTTGTATGACAGTGGTTGTATGCACGTGGCCATATGAGAACATTTCGAGGGGAGAGCTGACTTTCCCCACTCTCGGCCATACCAGAGCATTTGGGGGCTTCACGTGGAAATGATGGTAAGTTTCGCTGATCTAAATATTTTTTAATAATGCTTAACTAATTCTAGAATAATTTTAAACAGGAGACCTTAGGAAATTTATAGTAACATCCTCTTTAAATAGTGAAATTCAACAATATAATTTTAATTATAACGTAAAATGTTGTTGGAACTTGACTTCTGTAAAATTAAGATTTCTGAGATTTATTTTCACGGTTCTGAACATTATCAAGGTTGTTGCACCAGCTAAAATGAATCTCTTCTGCCAAATAGAACCCTTCTTCTACATTTTTTTGATCTCAATTCCGTAAAATGTGAGAAATAGCCAGTCATATTGTTATTTTAAAATGGCTAATTAATGGTCAGATGAAAATTGACTTTTTCTCCAGCACTAAATAATGATACCATGGGACTACATCTCCTGACGTTGCTCCACTGTCTTGTGAATCAGACCTTTTATGTCAAAGACTTCGATTGTGGCACCCTAAGAAAAACCACCTACTTCTGTTTGGGCACCCGGGCAGTATCCCAGCCCTCACACAAATCGAATGATTTATGTGACGCATATATTTTTAGTGCCTCCTTGTACCGATGTTTATGTGTTTAACTAAATAAATGATATTAACAATTTTGATGAAGTTTTGTTCTCTGACCTGGATGATTTAGTCGTGAACACAACCTCCTACAAATCTCCTCCACCATCTCATTATGATATTAATAATTAAAAATTTAATTATTTACGATACATTAATTACACTTTGATTTTCTCTATAGCTCATACTCAGTTGTCAGAGGAATTTTCTCACCTCCCAGTACGTATGGATACATTGAGAATTCGTTCTAGACGTGCAGAAATTGAAAGTCGTCTCAGTGAATTAGAACAAGCTATTGAAATATTCAGTAAACCGAAAGTATTTATTAAACCTGGTTAAATACAAATATAACTTAAAATAACATGGTCAATAATGTATAAAATATTGTCATGAACAACTTCTATGATAATCAGCTGTAATTCATATCATATAATGACCGAATATTTCGAATCATTTTTTGTTTGGGTGAATAGTTTTACTGACTATTTCTTCTGGTACAATTAGTTTACCATGTTGTTATTGTATGTATATGTATGTTTAATCTCTCAATCAATTCCCACAACAAAAGAAATTCAATGAAATGAATAGTATTAGTTATTTTGATGGGGTTTTGTTCTCTGAACTAGATTGTTTGGTCGTGGATCTCCACCATCTCAAGGAACAATAATGGAGCGGATTTGTATGCATAAAGTATACAATTCTTTTTCAGCCTAGTACATAACAATAATATCATGTACTATCCAATCGCCCTTGGCAGATCAGGCAACCCCAAACTTACAAGAACACCATCAGGGCATACGACAAGCTAGGTACCCCTCCACCATTTCATAGTATCAGTTAATTTGGAAATTATTTAGGATAAGCCGATGACATAGTTCTATTTGGTGAAAACGCTGACAAAATGCAGAGCCTTTCTGACCACTATAAGCAACAATGCAAGCATGTTTAGGATGCTATTCTCCCCCTCGAAATGCAAAATGTTGCTTCAGGATCGGGTTGCATCGACACCTGAATTAATGATAGGGAGTGAAGTAGTTGAGTGTGTCGACCGCTTCACTTATCTTGGGAGTCTCATCAGCCTTTGTGGTCTGGTATGTGACAAAATCTCAGGACGGATATAGAGGGCTCGACTAGCTTCTGACAACTTGCGTCATTTATGGCGTAGGCGAGATATCCGTCTACCAACCAAAGGACGGGTTTACTGCGCAGCAGTTCGTTCCGTACTACTTTATGGGAGTGAAGCATGGCCGGTAAGAGTAGAGGATATTCGTAGGCTAATAGTATTTGATCATAGGTGTCTTCGAAGCATTGCTTGTATATCCTGGGACCAACCAGTAAGTACTGTAGTTGCTACGAAACGAGTATTAGGTAAGGATGGCAAATCAACCGATGAAGTAGTGAAACTTCATCAGTTGAGATGACTGGGACACGTGTTACGTATGCCCAACGACCGACTGACCCGGCATGCGATGTTTCATGGTGTAGGAGTAGGATGGAAGAAAGCTAGGGGCGGCCAGACCAAAACATGGCACAAATCCATGAACTCACAGACAAGTGGACAGTCATGTTGGTAGGTGTAGACTACCTGGTTGTGATCCGCGAGGCGATAGAAACCGATGGTTAGAGACCTTAAATGACATGACTTAAAATCGTTTGCAATGGTGCAGGTGCATCCACTCTTTGTGTTCTCCCAAATTCTAATCTGAATTCTTCATGCTCCTTTTTTCCACTCTCCAAACTTATTTCATTGGATTATACTGCTTGAATAACATATTCAAACCCTAATCTTTCCGATTACTGCTTATAATCTTACTACCTCTACCACAATGGGATTTGAATTGACAATGTGGTATGGCAACTCGAACTGATGTACATACGTACGAAGTTCTACGTTTTTGATGACTGACTGACTGATAAAAAAAATTGACAAGCTAAATAAAGAATTAAATGAACTAAGTTTTAATATGCATGACTCAGGGGATATTTTATTTTACAAAGCCATTTTAACTCCTACACATGTATAAAGTTAGCCAGTCGGGGGAGACGCATTCGAGTCTGATGCCATCTGTATTCTATCCATAAGTATTACTGAATTACTATATTTGTTTCAACATCTGTTCTATAGGATTAAGCAATTTAATGAACTAGTGTTTAGATCAATTTGTAAACTTCTATTGATTATTTATTTTATGAACAGGTTTTAAGGATCATTGATAGCAGTGTTCATCACTTACTAAGTGACAGGGAAATAAATACTTCGTTGAATTCTATCAGAAATTGTACAATACACATTAAATTCAAGTCTTCGTATGATATAAAATAATTACTGTTCGGTTCAATTGTATGATAAAAGAATTTGTCCTATCACCGCATTAGTTAGGAGAAATCCGTAACTGAGATAAGACTTGCAAGTTGATTAAACGCTTTATTTTGTAATTCGAATAGTATAACATTGGACGGAAAACAAAAGATTCCTCGTTAATCTTGTATTATTAATCTGAGTTTACATTATATTGATCTATCATATGTTATCTATATCGCGGTTCAGTTTCTATGCAAGCCAATTCTGATATAAAAGTTCCAACTAAGTGGACAGCAACCATGTTAATGTTTTTTTACATCATTTTGTGTTACGAATTTCTTATTGTAAATATTGTTAATAAAACAATAACAGATTGACGTAGATTGGGTAATTACTACAACCTGATATTTGCAAACTAATAAGTGATAGGCGAGGCTATCATTTATGGCCAACCTTAAGTGACCTTGGAAAACATTAGGCAATCAGAAGACAATTAATACGAAATGAGATACATTATAAAGAACCAAAGAATTAAAGTGGATGTACTTCTTTTACACGATTCAAAGACTTATCAAAGTTTAAAAGCGGTTCTGAAATCGTATTGCATAAGGTAAAGGAATTCATCCATATGTCTCCATGATAGGGCCGTAGAAACTACTTTAGCCTCGACAACATAGCTTCAACATTGTTAGTGTGCACTCTTGTTGTAGAGTCCACAAAATGGTGATTGTGGACAATGACATGATGCATATAACCAAGTCTATGCACGCATTGGTAGGCTCTTCAATCATCCGAATGTATTGTAGTAGCCGGCTGCACGTATTCCTGTATAGTTGGTATTATTGTCGGTTTCTGACCCTTTGGAAGTGTCCCTTTTGGGTTGATCTGTCGTAAATTCCAAGTACTTGTGAGGTATATTTATGGAAGTACTACTTACCCAGTCTTCCTTAATAGTACGTCCTCTGTTAAATCTTCGCCTCCTCACTACTGTTTCAACGATTCTGCGAACTCCTCCAAACTTTTCATTTTTACTGCGCATATATATCTACAATACTCATACAACTGAAGCTTCAATAACATCTGCAAATGTTGCAGCCAGTGTTACTGGTGATTTTATTATCCAATTTGCAACAATCATCATGACTTTCCTTAGTCTCAATTGGGATCGAGCGAAGGAAGTTCCTTTTCGGGCAAACTTCTTCGTCGAACATGAATAATATCGAAAGACAATCTCATCACGGTAGTCTGCACATGGTACAAGTCACAAATAAAGAAAATTCTAAGTAGTCCCATTTGTTATAGCCACTCAATGATCACGTCTTCTATAAGATCCACTCTAAACTGATCGTACATGAGCATTAGGAACTGAAATGGGCGTCGTAACCTTGAACTCTCACAAACCCTTCTGATTGACTCGTCCATAAATTATAATCTCGTCACAATAGCTTATTTCAATAGTTGAAATCACGAGTTAAATTGAAGCTAGACCACCATGGAAAACCTGGAAGCACTGGACGGCCATATCGTCCTATTGTGTGACTTCTCAGCAGTGAGCATCCACGATCCCGCGAGATTCGAACCAAGGATATATTGCAGTGTGGATTACTTATATCCACACAAGTAGTATATAACGACGGTCAGTCATAGAATGTATTTCAGTAGAAGGTCGATGAGGAAAGAACGGGAACGGAATACAAGTGTTAATGAAAACGCATGAACAATGAAATATGCGACAATGGATTGATGTTTGCAACAGGAACAGTCAAGTTTGATATTTTGGAAATTAACAACTTACTATATGGTTCTCAGATTTTATTTAAGATGCTCTGTAATTTTGTACTCAAATACATTCGATTGTCCCCACTGATGTTTTGGTTCACTACACTATCAGTCTCAAGCACGATCATGTAACCATTAGTATTATATCTTATATTTTCAATATGTTTCAGGTTAAACTATTACTTACCTACGCCTGTTACTCCTAATAGAGCATAGGCCGCCTACCAGCATTCTTCAACCCACTCTATCCTAGGCCTTTTATTCCAAAATAAAAAGTTAAATTATTCTAATAAAAAGATTATTTATTAATTATTTACTTCAATTACAAGTTTACCACGTTTACCTTTTGTATACAGTCGATGAAATGCATCTGGTACATGATTAAATTGATAAACCGTATCCACTGGTATTATTAATTGTTTATTTGAAACTAAATTTAAAAGATAATTTAATACTTTATTATTTGGTTTAAAAAATACCCAACGTATTTTATTTAAATTAGTATTATAAACATTATTGTTAGAGAATAATGCTGCAATATTACTATACAATAATTGGGAATATGCTATTCCACTACCAATAAATGGTCCATAATAATCATTTAAATATAATAATGGTGGATTAAGCATAATATAACGTGTACGATTTGATGATGTATTTAAATAAATTAACATAGATGGTAGTTGAGGTAATAAATGATCAATTAAATTATATTGTTTCAAGTGTGTATTCGATGATGATGAAGATGATGATGATAATGTGGTGAATGAAGTTGTTGTATTCAAATAATCCGGTCGAATACAATCAAGAATTAAATCATATTTCATTGTCGTTTGAATATTTGATGGATGTGGAAATATCTAAAATATAAAAATGGAAAATCTATTAGATTTCAAGTATATACAATAGTGATATTAAGAGTAAATCCAATCAAGAATATAAGAATGATTATCATTGATATGATAACCTTGTATGGAATGATTAAAACACATTGAATTGACCAGTTATTTGCGGCGATTCAAATATCTAACTACAACCATTATTCCTAGTCAAGAAGAATAAGTTACATGTTCATTTCATAGAAATTTAAATTATCTGACGTTTATTGCTATCGTCCAGAAATAATAATAACAATGGGAAAAATAGTTCAGCTATGAAATATACAATCACAAACAATTCTTTCAATTAAAGAAGTTACGTTCGCTTTTATGAAGAAAGTTACAGAAAGATTGCCACTAGCTTCTAATCCGAACATCTGTAGTCACTGTTGCGCTACCTCTAGGACATCAACCAGGGAGTAGTGAAGGACCAATAGAAGCCAGTCCTTTGCAGCTTTCTTTCATACCACGACACCATGTCATGCACTGACCACCTCTCCGCTTCTTCCAACCAGTCCCAGAGTCGGCAAATAATGCACGACGTGGAATTCTCTGGGACGACATTCGGAGAACATGTCCAAGCCACCGAAGTCGGTGTTTCAAGATGGTGACACCAATTGATTATCATCTCTGTGCCCGAACACACGATGCCGAACCTCTGCATTACTGACATGGTGTTGCCACTGAATGTCAGCAATCCTTCGGAGACAGCGATGATCGAACACAGAGAGTCGTCTAACGTCCTCAACTCGGAGAGGCCAGGTTTCACAAGCATAGAGCAAAACTGCTCTCACCGACGCGTTGTAGATCCGACCTTTTACAGCCAGACTAACATCACGAAGGCGCCAAAGGTGGCCCAGATTGGCATAAGCCGCTCTGGCTTTCACTATACGTGCATTGATCTCATCACTCACACCCCCACCAGCACTTATGCAGCTACCCAGATACACGAACTTCTCGACTACGTCTATCTGCTCACCATCCAGGGTGAGTACAGGATTGGAATCCTGCCAGTCTTGTAGAAGTACTTTGCACTTCGAAGGTGCAAAGCACATACCATACCTACGGACACTGATTGCCAACTGATTAAGTGCGGATTGCATGCCTTGGGCATTATCGCACAGTAAGACAATATCGTCCGCATACTCAAGGTCGAGAAGTCTTTCTCCAGGCAACAGATCCACACCACCATTACTTACATTCATCAGAGCTGTTTCCAGAATGTCATCGATGGCAAAGTTGAAGAGGAATGGTGAGATTGGGCAACCCTGCCTAACCCCACTGCTCGAATGGAACAATGGAGAGAGGTGGTTGTATGCCCTCACTCTGCCTGAGGTGTTTTTATATAGGGCTTTTAGGATGTTAATAAACTTCTCAGGCACACCCTTCTTCAATAGACAATCCCAGAGAACAGTCCTGTCCAACGAATCGAAGGCAGCCCTGATGTCAAGAAACACTACGATTGTTGGCCTTTGATAAGTATGGCGGTGTTCTAACATTTGGCGGAGGGTGAAGATATGATCAATACATCCTCGACCAGAACGAAACCCAGCCTGCTCCTCGCGAGTCAATCTTTCTCGGGTTTTGAACAACCTACGAAGTATGACGGAAGCCAATAGCTTGGACGCAATCGGAAGTAGACTTATCCCCCGATAGTTGTTACAGGAACGACGTGAACCCTTTTTAAAGATAGGGACAACTATCGACTCATTCCATGACGTTGGTACACTCTCTAGTTCCCAAACCTTTGTAAACAACGTCGTCAATTCCTTAGTCAAAAAGTCACCACCATCTTTAAAAAGAGCCGGAGGTAAGTCATCTGGGCCAGGTGATTTGTAACGCTTCAAGAGTTGGAGTTCCTTGCGGACTTCCTCCTCGTTTGGTGGATCAGTCGTCACCGGCCATGGAGGGCAGGACAGTCTGACCGATGTTGCCGGAGCAGCAGGCCAGTTGAACTGCCCTTCGAAAAATTCTGCCCATCGTCCAAGACGTCGATGGATGTTAGTGATTGGCATCCCATCATCCTCGCAGATTGTTTCACTCACACCAGACTTCTTGCTGCCAGTGGCTCGGATGAGCTGGAAGAGCTTCCGGTAGTTACCAGATGCAGCTGCTGCTTCCAGCTCATTAGCACGCATCGACCACCAGGCTTCTCGGTCCTTACGCAAGCTTTGCCCAATTTCCTTACGTAACATCCTTCGTTTATGGTCAAACTCACGGTCACCCGGAGTAGACCGACGGGCTTCAATGAGTTGTAAGGAACCAGAAGAAACCCAGTGCTTAAAAGCGGGACGTTTCGCAAACCCACAACTGACTGTTCCCGCCATTTTCATGGCGTCATGCAATTGCAACCAATGCTCATCTATACTTTTCGGTGGAGTGGTAGCTAGCCTAGAGGCTAGCTCGGTTCGATACTTACTTGCAACAGAAGTTGCAACCAGCTTGCTAACATCAATCCGTTGATGGCGGTCACTTCGTTGTCCACTGAAAAGTAAGGCAAGATTGGCGCAGACCAAGGCATGGTCAGAGTCCAGATAGGTACTCCAAAAGGAGCGGCAGTCTTGTACACAACCACGCCAGCGGTAGCTGATCGCGATGTGATCAATCTGAGTCCAGGCTTGAGATGCAGAGGGAGGACGCCAGGTGGCACATCGGCGATGACTGTGCCGAAAGTTAGTGCTAGCCAGAAACAGGTTGTGGTCTGTGCACAGTTGCAGTAGACGGTCCCCGTTATCTGACCTGCGACCAACGAGTCCCCATCGGCCACCTAAACGACTCTCTTCTGTGCCTAGACGCCCGACCTGAGCATTCAAGTCTCCGGCTAGTACTACAATATCTGTCGAACGCACTTTCTGGAGAAAAACAGTTAACTGATGGTAGAATTCATCGAATTCACGAAGATGCCACAGAGTCCCTGGATAAAGGCACGTAAAACAAGCTTTTTGAAGCTACAGATGGGGAGCGAATTTATAGTACTTCACTAGAGCATTGAATAAGGTACTCGGATAGATAACAGATGTCAATATTAGGGCTCTCTGAAGATATAATCAACACTATCTATTGTTCGATCTGCATTAGTGTGCGATCGTTGAAGGAAGCCAGTATGAGTGGTATAGTTGATCACAGAAAAACTGTTTCAGTATTTGTATTCGGTGGTAGTGTTCAGCTTTCGACCAGTCATTGACTTGAGGTCGTTTAGATAGGACAGGGTTTTCACCATAGCGAGTGGCTGTATAAGTTGGAAAATAAGGATACACAAAGTGGGAATAAAAGTGAGTATATAAAGTGACGTAGTATATGAAAAAATAAAAATGTATGTTATCAAATGAATGTGAGTTGTCTGAATATTATTTGGAGCAAGAACAGTATTTTCAGTAATTATTGCCATTTCATTTTATTTGTGTGTGGGATGTGATACTACCAGGTTGCCCAGATTGAAGCAGGTGATTTTCTTAGGAGGTCACACCCAGAGCCTTCGACCTATAGGTTTGATCCACAAGGCAGTGGAGCAACGTTAGGAGATGCAGTAACATGGTAGCCGATGACCAACAATAGGTTTATATGTCATTTGTTCCTTCAGGATCCTGGACCATATGTACACGATTGGTTTGGAATAAGAGTTTTCCAACTCCCCTAGGTGGACCCTCCGTGTCCACCAACCCGGTTAGAGCGTTGGACATTCGCTTTTTGTCCTCTTCATTTCGTAAAAAAACACCTGTGGTGCGAGAATGCAGTGAGTAGGATTTTTCTATCAGTGGTTGTATACGCGTGGCCATTTGAGAGCATTTCGAAGGGGAAAACGAACTCTCTCCAACCTCGAACGTACCAGGACATTTGAAAATCTGACATCAACTATACATGTGTAATGTTAAAGTTTGAGAAATGTGATTACTGACACGAAAGAACGCAATGCTTACAATCAAACTACGAGACCGGTAGTATGATATGCTTCATGCTAGTTTAATTAAACTGATCAGAATTCACTTAAACATCGGACAGTTACTTTAATTAAATTCGGTCGGACTTATCAGTGAAGTATCCAGTTAAACTTAGTATGGATAGTCATATACTTATCAGCACTCAAATTTAATGGGTTAGATTGAAGGAAACTTGAAAGTACATTTGGATTGTAAGAAACGATTATCTCGTGTTTAATTTTAGTTTCGTCCGTTTAATGAAATTTGCAGGTTAATATGAACGGCGTTGAACCGTAAGTTATATTGATTATTGATATATCAAACTCAAAATTCGACTATTTAAAACATGATAAGAATACAAATTATTTACTACTTACTTCATCAACTTGTAAAACATTCATTAAATCTAATGCCTTTTTATCACTTGGACATGTGACATGAACTTTCCAACCCCAAAGTTTAGCCAATTGTGCTGCAATAAAGCCAACACCACCAGTGGCGCCAGTTATAAGAATTGAACAAGTTGATGATGATGACTTACTAACAGGGTCGATTCCACCAGCATCAACTAAAGCTGACCATGCAGTTAAACCAGCATATCCTAATGCAGCTGCAGATATGAAAGAAACATTACTAGGTAATGGAGCAACATAATCGGCTGGACAGACAATATATTCAGCTAATGAACCAGATCCGGTAGTACTGAGAAAAGGCCATGTAGCGCCAGCCACATTTGTACCAATAATAAGTTTATTTTGCCTGTTTAGGTTGGATAAAGCAACTTCTGAACCGATGTCAACTATTTGACCAGAAAAATCACGACCAGGTGTAAAAGGAAAGTCAGCATTTTCTGCTGTTGTGGCATCAGGTAGACCAAAGCAACCATAGTTTGATGTAAAGCGACGTAATAAATTAAAGCTAGAAGAACCATAACCATAGACAAGCAAAGAATCTACAGGATTTAACGATGCCGCTTTAACCTTAATAAGTAATTGGTCTGGACGAGTTATATTGGGCATACGTCTGGTCCTTGTGAAGTGTAATTCAGATGTGATGTCCGCTGCACCAGGTGGTAAAAAGCTCATCAGCTGCCATGCTGAAATAGTTTTTGGAAGTTTTGGCCTCATATCATACTATGTGTTTTCTGAAATATGAAAAGAAAAAAATGTTTTATTTTAGGTATCAGTATGATGAAGTTTTTAGAAGGAAACATAAACTTAGATATTACTGTCGAATATTTTTACTATTAATCAAAGTGATGAGTGAGAATTGATAAAGTGAAAAAAATCGTCGAATTCAAAATATTTTGTGGTCTGATATATCCGTTCAGATTATTTAGACAAAAACAATCCCATGGAACAATTCAATCGTTGGAATGCGACCAAAAGAAAGTGAAGTACTGATATGACTTTTAGATCAATTTGTAAGTGGAAGTAAATGACTTATGATGGTTTCAAATGGCCACGCGTATACAACCACTGACAGAAAAGTCCTACTCACTGCATTCTCGCACCACAGGTGTTTTTTTACGAAATGAAGAGGACAAAAAGCGAATGTCCAACGCCCTAACCGGGTTGGTGGACACGGAGGGTCCACCTAGGGGAGTTGGAAAACTCTTATTCCAAACCAATCGTGTACATATGGTCCAGGATCCTGAAGGGACAAATGGCGTACGAACCAATCGTTAGTCACTGGCTACCATGTTACTGCATCTCCTAACGTTGCTCCACTGCCTTGTGGATCAGACCTATAGGTCGAAGGCTCCAGATGTGGCTCCCTAAGGAAATCACCTGCTTTGGTTTGAGCACCTGGGGAGTACCTTATCCCTCACACCAATCAAGTGACTTGTGTGGCGTATATGTATTCAATGCCCTTTGTAACAATATTTATGTGTTGAAATAAAGAAAAGAATAATCATTTCGAATGAAAACTATTTGAAAATTCACGGCATGAAAAATGCTAATCCACACTTATAATCTTCAACAGTACGAATTCAAGAACCATTCGATCGATTTTGAAGATTTCGAAAAAGATCATAATAATGATAGGACGACTGAGAGTAATAATAGTTGATTCGCTACTTGAAAGTCAATATTTAATGAGAATTCAGTGATAATTCATAATCAAATGGCATTAATAATGGTTCCCAAATAGCATCAAAATATTTGTCACTAAAATTAAAAGGAATACTGGGAACGGAAATATTCATCCTTTTTTATCTAAACTCTAATCTGATTGTTAAACTGAAATACCATTCTTTCCATTTTAAAGCAACCATATCAGTTAGAATGATTATGATAATTAATGTGGAATTTCATCATTTGAATTAAGTAGACTTAAATAATGGTGATAGGAAAATCCAAAGCCAAAACTACTTTCAACATCCTGTATCGATGAGAAAATTAAATGTGTGGGGTCCCTTGTATTTTGGAATCCGTGAGTGACCTTCCCGGTAACTGCCGACGAATTAAATGTGGTCAAATCGTTTTTTGACATGATTCTAGCAAGATGTGAAACGATGAGGCATTTGAAAAACCTGATACATGAAGATGCTTGAAATAGAAACAGACATAGGACGAGTGTGTCGAAAAAGTATTTTAAAAGGGTGTACGGTTTATTTACCCTGAAATTTCCATGATCTCACTTCAGTTGTTTTGGGAATCACAGTTAAGAAGCAAGCCATTCAACTGAAAGAACAATACAATTTCTAGATGAACCAGTTAAGAGGCAATCTTTAGAAACTGAATGGAATTATTAAATACCAAATAAGTCAGTAGATTATAATTTTCTGAACATAAACGATTGCCCAAATTGAAATATTGATCTAAGCTTAATAAATTTTAGGATCTGACACCTATCCCTTCATCTTGTCTGTTGAAAATTAGAACGATGTTGGTATGCAATAGAGAATAATTCCGAATGTATTTAGTCGAAATCCGTTGTCTCAACTGTTGATAAAGTAGTTTTATGCGAAATCGTTCCCAGTAGTATATTCCTTGCTAGATTAATTTAAAGTTGATTTAGTTTAGAGTCAAGGTGTCAGCACAATTGTTTAACAACGCAAACGACAAAGACTTTTATCAAACGATCAAAACATTTATGAAGAAACATAACACCAATTTGCTATTTTCACAATGGCAAGAAGTAATAGTAGTCGCAAAGTATCATGACATTTTGGATGCTTTAACAGAACCTGTCTCACCAGTTATATAATTTCACCCTGCAGGTTTTCTGCAAACGAGTACAATATCGGAAAAACGGTATCTTCATGAATAGTGATTACGTTCCGTTTTGATAGAGACGGGTTTCCTTTGTCTTTTATAGGATTTAACTTAGTACCAATACCTTACCCACATCAAAACTCGAGAGAAGTGCTACTGTATTCTGGTCATGAAGAATAAAATGTCTCGCACACACAAGGAGTTGCACTGATGCTATCCAAAGATGTGCAGAAAACATTTATAAGATGGGAATCTCATAAATCCAGGATTATCAAAGCACCCTTGTAAGCAAAGAAAACATGGATAGTAATGTCATCCACAAGCATGAGCCCACCATTGATATCAGGGGGAACGGTGAATATTAGTTTTGTAAGAAGTTGTAGTCCATTGTAGAGAAATACCCAGAAAAGGACCGAACCGTCCTGATGAAAAACCTAAACGCCAAGGTCAAAATGGACAATACAGAGTATGACGATATCGAGGGATAACAAGGACTGGGAGAAAGGGACGAGAACTGTGAGATTTACAAATTTGTTTGCTTTCGACAAAAGTTATGTGTTACCATTGTCGTAAGAAAAAAAAGAGAGGAGCTGATATAGCTTCAGATCACTACCTGATAGCTGCAAAGATGAAACTAAAGCTAAAGGAACACTGGATAAACAGTATCACAAAAGATTAATACAGCCTACCTTTGAGATACTGACATATGAAGTCAACATAAATCCTACCAATAAGTCCCACTAAAAGAGTTAACTACTATGGAAACAAATGGAAATGGATAAAAAAAGTAGTAACTTGAACATACCAGGAGGTGCTGCGTCGCAAGAAGCATTGTCATAAAGGGTGGATTTCTGTTGATATCCTACGCACGATTCAAGAAAGTAAGAACAGGAAGACAGTAGTCGACAACAACCAAACAATAATAGAGAAGGTCAAGACAGAAGCCAAATTCACAGGCAAACAAGCGAGTGAAGAGCAGCATTAGAACTGATAGACGGAAGTATGTAGAACATCTAGCGACGAGAGTGGAGAGAGTTGAAAGTGAAGGGAAACCTGAGAACACTCTAAAGAACCTTTGAACAGACCAATACCACTGAACCCACCAGACATCGAAGCAGCACACACGCACATCCCTATGGTTGCCACTCCATCAACAATAGAAAAAATCAGGATGGCAGACAGATCAACTGTGGGAAAGCAGTAGAACCTGACAATATACCAGCTGTAGCACTGAAGTCAGATATTGAAGTAACTGAAAACATGCTTCACATCCTATTCTGAAAGATTTAGGAGGAGCAACAAATGCCGACAGAATGGAAAGAAGAATACCTCATCAAGATACCAAAGAAAGAAAACCTCAGTAAATGTGAGAACCACAGAGGCATCCTACTACCATTCGAGCCAGCAAACGTTTCCAACAGTGTTGCTGAATCAGATGAATGATTCAGTGGACACTTAGCTTCGAGATCAACAGGTCGGGTTCCGTAAGGATCGGTCGTCCACGAACCAAATCGCAAAACTACGGATCATCTTTCAACAATCCATTGAATGGAATTCGTCACTATACATCAAATTCATTGATTATGAGAAAGCGTTTGACGGTGTGGATAGAAGAATATTATCGAACGTACTTCGACTTTATGGTGTAACTGGGAAAACCGTCAAAATCATCCGGAATTCATACGACGGAGCACACTGCGAAGTCATGCATAAAGGAAAGTTGGCAGACACATTTCAAGTGACAACCGGAGTCAGACAAGGCTGATTAAGTAGAATTTTGTGAAACCACTAAAAAACCATCCTAACGACTATGTACCATGACGACAATTCCCCTTTAGTCGGGTCTTTAATATACAGCTTTTCAAAGAGAAATTTAGAATTATGATATTAGGCTCATAGAAATCGCGTCGAATAATCACCTAACAGAGAAACGGTAGTACAATTGCAACGGTTGTCGCATAACTTAACATGTAAACTCGTACATAGTCACTAAGTTTTGATGTGGGATGATGGTTAAAGCATTTAACTGTCAACCAATTTATATATGATTGACCATTGCTTCGTATAAATTGCCCTGGGAGGTGTGGAAAATTAGCTACACTACTAAATTAATGAAAATATTTCAATAAAATGCTCGTGGTGGTTAATAGTCTCACTTTTACTTATTCAACATTGCTAAACCATTACTTAGTATTAAGAGATAAGAAAATTAATTACTCGGGTTGATAAGTACGAGAATATACTAATTTAAAGGTAAGTGGAGTACGCCGAAATGGTCACGCTACTTAATGTTTCGGAAAATAAATTTCTGTTACCCATTTTCATATGAAAACCAACCACCTCAAATAGATATGCATTCCAGAATGTAATTGAATAGTTTTATAAACTCATGTTTTGAATTGTCTAAACAAAAAGCAAAGAATCCTTTTCTTTAGATTTCAACAAACACGAAGTCCAGAGGGGTTTTGTGGATATTATAGTAATTTAATAGTTAAATTCATGAGTCAATTGAAGCTAGACCACCATGGAAAACATGGAAAGGGGATCGTGGATGCGCACTGCCGAGGAATTCCATACTAGGACGAAACGGCCGTCCAGTGCTCCCAGGTTTTCTATGGTGGTCTAGCTTCAATTAACTAATAAATTCAACTATCAAAACACGAAGTTGAAGAATTCTTGTGTTGAATAAATTCAAATGAGAAACATAAATTTACCTGAGGAAAATTTGACAGAGGTAGACTGTTAAGATAAATATTGCTTACATTCAAATATAAAACATAAATCAATTTGTAATGTCGGCTCTCTGTCCAAATTACTTCACATAATTAGTAAGTCTTAAATTAATTTATTTGATTGACGTCTACTACCACGAATTGAAGTTGATGAGTACCCGAGTCAACATAACGCAAAATTGCAAATAAAAGCCCTCACATGCTCAACAAATATTTTATTCTTAATCACGAAAATAAACAACAGTAGTCAGATTATAATTTAATTAAGTGATAGGTCTATTCAATGTGAAGCGTTCAACTTTAAAATATCGAATCAATAACCAAAGCATTAACAACAGAATCAACAGGAATTTCCTGTGGTCCGTCATTAACAATGGGAGGTAGTACCAGTAACAAATTAGAATTAAGACAACTAGCTAAGCAAGAACTCATTTGATTCTCCATCATATCACAAGATGCACAAGGTACGGAAGGTTGGTCATATTCTGAATTCTCTTTCCAAACTAATCGGGCACGTCTGTAATCTGGACGATCACTCAGTTTAACAGAATGTAACAACCGTACATGAATACTTGGCAAGCACCATTCTTCAAGAGGTCGTAAGTCCAACTTCCTTAATAAGGGCAAAACAAATAGATGCGCTGTTACATAACATGACACAGGATTACCTGGTAGGCAAAATGCTAACACAGGCTTTGGTTTAGTGGTAGTAGAAGCGGCGATGGCTGAATTATCATGATGAGGTATAGATAAGAATGTCGTTGGTTTCCCTGGTTTCATAAACACTCGAGCGAAGTGGAGAGTTGCATTAAAATCTTCGATTAGTATCTTACTAACCATATCACGTTCACCCATGCTTACGCCGCCTGTTGTGATAAGAATATCACACAAGGTTAAAGCCCTGGACAAGCCCATTCTTAAGGATTTTCGATCATCGGTTAAAATCCCACAATCTACAACATTAAAATAATTATGTTTGTGCAGTAGGTTGATTAAAACAGGGCGGTTACTGTCTCTCACAAAAGGCTTTGTTTCAGAAACAACACAATCTAAAACCTCATTTCCAGTCGATAAGACACCAATGCGACATTGCTCTAGACAGGGTAGGTATCCGCCTTGCGAAAGACGATCTAAAACCGCGTAAGGAATTGGACCTTCATTTGCCTTGACACAATCTGCATGATCAGATGGCCAAGGTGTTAGCAAACCTGCACCGGAAATCAACCCTAATTCCGTTGAACCAAGGCGTAGTCCTCGCCTAAAAACAAAGTTCTTGTCTAAATCGACACCAGCTGGACGAATGAACTGCCCAATACTTCCAGGTGGAATAGTCACTTCAATCGTGTCTTCCTCTTCTAAATAAAGATCTACAGATTCACCTTTTCGTTTAGAGATAAGTTTGGTGTTCTCTATTGGAACAACGCAATCAGCTCCAGAGGGAATAGGGCTGCCAGTACTAACACGAACACATGTGCCTGGAGTAACAACTAACTCTCTACCTGCACACATATGATCCCCACCGTACGACGCACCAACAACTTTTAGTTGACTAGCACCATCCATAAATCGAACAGCATATCCGTCCATCATGCTCGCATCAACAGGAGGAATGCACTGGCGTGACTTTAAACTTCGACCAAGAACACGACCTAAAGCATTTTTATGAAACACTGCCTCAATCCCCATCTCAAAACTGCACACAGCGAATATCTTCTCAAGTGCTTCATCAACTGATATCATTGGATATTTAGAATGTCTACAACGACTAACGACAGGATATTCGCGTTCTAATATACTTTTACCCAGATTATACTGAATGGGATGTTCTAATTTTACAAGATGATCCCAACCTTTGATTTGCTGGACAGCATGTTTCATTACTGGAAGAATAACTGGGATACACTGAGAAACTGCGCGTGTACTACCTGGTAAGGTTATTAGTAGAGTTTCATTACATACTCCAGCTACAAATCGCGATAAAGCACCCATCGGGGTATTTTGCAGTGAAATAGAATAAAGAGAGTGCTCAATACCATGTAGACGTTGATTTTGGGAAACTAACTCAATAATTATATCCGAAGTAACATCCCTTCTAGACAGACCTGTACCTCCTAGCGTAAGTACGACTTCTACTTGATGAGAAGCTACCCATTTCATAATTACGCGACGAATAATATGTGGGTCATCCGGGACACAATCTTTTAACGGGACGTTAAATCCTGCCTCCTGGAGTAAACTTTCAGCAACTGGGCCACTTTGATCGAGTAAAATATCCTTGGAGCATGTGTCGCTGACAGTGAGAACTGCCACAGACAAACGCAGACCTGAAAAAAGACCGGGAATAATTCACTAAAAGAAGTCATCAAACGATTTAGCAACATAACAGTGCATATTTTCACTTGTAAGACTATAGGTATCGCAAAGTGATACTAGAGATGACTAAAGTAATGCAATACTTGTAAGCAACGGAAGTCAAGTTCAAAAGAAACTCCGAAAAAAAAGTATAACTAGACCGTTGGATTCAGGAGTAGGAGGATGTAGGAATTTATTTATTTAAGCACATAAACATTGGTACAAGGAGGCACCAATTAGATATGCGCCACATAAATCACCCGATTTGTGTGAGGGCTGGAATAATGCCCAGGTGCTCAAACTGAGGCAGGTGATTTTCTTAGGGAGACACATCTGGAGCCTTCTACCTCAAGGTCTGATCCACAAGGCAGTGGAGCAACGTTAGGAGATGCAGTAACATGGTAGCCGATGACCAACAATAGGTTTATATGTCATTTGTTCCTTCAGGATACTGGACCACATGTGCACGGTTGGTCTGGAATAAGGGTATTCCAACTCCCCTAGGTGGACCCTCCGTGTCCACTAAGCCGATTAAAGCATCGGACATTCGCTTTTTGTCCTCTTCATTTCATAAACAACACCCGTGGTGCGAGAAGTCAGTGAGTAGGACTTTCCTGTCAGTGGATGTTTACGCGTGGCTATGAGAGGTAGAGGGAAATCTTCCCATCCTCCACCGTATCAAGGCATTTAAGGGTGAACAGATGAGTGATCGGAAGCGACCAGTAATAAAATAACCACAGGGGAACTACACGTTTAAAAGCAATATGGAAATATCAGTGTTATCTGTTCATTAAATATGACTTTTTTCAGTTTATAGTAAAAGTCGAATTATAGTTCATCTTCCAAAGATTACTTTTAGTTACCGTCAGTAGTATTTGCAGCTAGCGTAAAACAAATTTAGTTTAAAACCTAATCAAAATAACTACTAAGTCACAATTCCTAGTCAAGATTATCTTTAGATCATTCGCATTTCTGAAGTACGTAGCTAAGATGATAAACTAAAATCATATGTAAGTTCACTTGAAAGGTGATTCTTAAATATAGGAAACTTATCCAGTCGAACAATTATTCTAACTCGAATCAACTGAAGTTCAAAAGTTTAAACCACTATATTTCAAATTAGTGGCTTAAACGCTATATACTTAATGACAGGTACACAAGTCCTGGAGTGCATATTCTTGAAGGAGTATACAAGCACTACTCAGCAACTACTGTTGTCAGATTATAATACAAACTACTTTTAGTTTCGTAACTAAATCTACAAATTAATGTTACATATATTCGACATCAGAAATAAGCTTCGTTGAAACACTTAAAATAGTAACGATATAAGTCACTTAAACAAAAAATAATAAAGAATTCACCATCGATCCGACAACTATTAGTAAATGAAGACTTACTTTCAAGAAAAATATGTTAGAAAGGAGAACCAAAGGGAGAAAAAAACAGATGTTAACAAATCGAGAACGAATTCGAACGACATTATGTAATTTTTTCTACCGGGTAAACAGAACCTATACTAATTTTGCAAGAGCTTTACTCATCATACTGGATCAGCCTATGAGCTTCTAGTCGTTATTACATCAGTGCTATAAAATGGTTATTACCTTTCACTAAGACAGGTCTCTGTCAATAAATAGAGTATTTTTCACTGTTTCACCAAAAGAGTAGAATAACCTAACTAGTTTTGTAACGAACTTTATTTACGTCTAACAGATACATAAAAACCAGTCCTTTTAGTGAAGCAATTTACAGCTGAAACACGATTTATTCAAATGCACATAGGGATGCTTAGGTCACGGAGTCTTGTGAGGTTGGTCATTATGACAGACCAACAATAGATAGTTGCCAGAGAAAAATTATATTTCATGTAGCTATACGAACCAAAATCAGCAGATCCAAATAGAAATATAGGTTGAAAAACACTACTCGACGAAGTGCTGCTCATTTTTAGAAGGAAACTTTACACGAGACGTGAAATCCATGTGAAGACCAAGAGGTGGTCGATATTAGTCAAAGATTGTGACCTAATAAGGAGAAATCTCGCTCATTCTGAAAAAAATCCGGAGTTAGGCAGTCTGATTTAGCCAAGAACACGTCATATTTGTCACTAATTATCTAAACAAATTTTTTCAAAGCTAAAGATTTAATAAATGACTATTATTTAAACCAATATTGCTGATTTTTCAGTTGCTAAACACACAGAGAGTTACATTGACTGAATAATGAATGAATAATTCACTCAACAATAAATAGGGCAAGAATCATACCAGTTACTTTTTCATACGACATTTGGAGAACTTTATTACGTGAAGCTATGACAAAAAGTCCACAAGTAAATCATTAATCGGATCTCCAATACAAGTGAAAGCAGATTTTCTGAAACCGAAATCAAAATTCAGCTGGTATAAGCAATTATAATTGTGACAGTGATTTAGAATGTATATCTTAGTTCTAGTAACGTCTATTCTACCTCGTAATGATATTGGTTTGATTCACCTTTCAAAAGTACACATAGTGACACATGTAAAATTTGTAACAACAAAATACTGATATGTTTATTCACATAGACGAGAGTCGCTGACTTGATTTTACCTCACAAATGAGGTGAGACATATAACATTGAAAGTTTTTGTGAAAATCCCTCGACTTCTAGGTAAGTTCAAGTGGTAAAATGGGCCAGGGGTAAATCAGATAAGCATAAGTCTCTGAATTTCGTCATACAAATTTATTACTATCCATATTAATGCATCTACTTAAATGGCTCCCAAGTGTAGATACGGTTTCTTGAAAATGTTGTGAAAGCACTTTCCATTTCAAACCCGCGAGAATCAGGCTGATTTCAGACCTGAATGTGGACGTGCATATCACATTAGCTATCGAACTGGTTATATCTTATTAGTTAGGGATACTTTTATTTAATTCTGTAATAAATATTCTTTAAAAGATAACGTTTTATCGTTGAAAATTTAAAGGATTGGTTCTCTACAAGAAAGACCACTTATCGACGTAGAATATGCAGACGACATAGTCCTACTCAGCAAAGACGCTAACACAACCCATAGCTTTGTGACAGCCTTGAGTAACAATGCAAGGATGTTTGAGATATATTCCTTTACATCGAAATGCAAAGTGTTGCTTCTATATTGATCAGAATCATTCCTAGATAGGTCGCCAGGAGTTAATCAGTTCACTGCAATAACTTTTTACTTAACTTGGGGGTTTACCGAATCTAGTAGTTTGGTGTGAGAAAAAAATCGCGGCATGGATTGAAAACGTATGACTAGTTTTGTAAATCTGCGTCACTTACTGCAAGATATTAGTTTACCAACCAAAGGACAAGTATATCAAGCAACAGTGAAACCTTTATTACTTTATGGCTACAAAATATGATCAATACATGTATAAAATCCACGGAGTGGTATTCAATAGTAGATGACTTAAAAACAATGCTTGCATATGGTGAAACCATCGACGAGTACTACTGAAGTTAGATGCAGGGCACTAGATACGAATTTTAGGTTGATTGATGAGGCTATGTACCGAGATCGTTTAGATATGTGATACAAACCCAAAGCTGGTTAACATAAGTATAAATTATATAGAGGCTAGCGACGGACAGAATATCACGAGGTATCAATTCACACTCGACAGAGCCAAGTCGGTAGGTGCACATTTTAGTTGAGGCTCTCGTAATACTCGTGGTCAACAGCTGATGACGCCAGTTGGATGTGGAATCAGTAGCAGTGGTACGGCCGTGTTTATTCGCCGTCTTCCTTTAGATCTTGAGTCAGACGTGACTCATAAAGTCCTACTACTCGATCACCACTATCGTCACATACGCTGAGCAGACATTTGAAGTTTAGTGAGTCTAGTGCTTTATCAAAAAGTAAAAATTTATTCGTAGTTCGCCAGGTCTATTTTAACCTAACAAGTCGTTTACCCAAAAAGGATAACACTGCCATCAGAGCAGTTGAGAATAGATAATATATACAGGATAGTTCGCGGTATTTTAGTGCTTTGAGTTCCTAACAGGACTATTCTTCAATCGCCTTCGTAAACTCACCCACAAGATACTTAGGTATGAGCCACATTCTACGTGTGAAAGTGAGACTATCCGGTTACCCAAACCGAAGTAGATTGTTTCAAGTTTTAATATGACGTTGAGCTAGACTTTAGGTATACTAAATTGGCTAAACATACAGTAGTAAACTTGAAGTATACATTGATGTAGAAAAATACACCGCTAGAATACATATAAGTTGGTTGGTTAATTAGTTAAAACACGGTGATTTTGGTAACCATATGTTAGTACCATGAATTCTGTAAATAACTTGGATCAAGATAACTTAACAACCATAAACCAAACCAAAAAATCGCTGTTGCATAGACAGTTTGATGGCACCTCTCTAACATTTGTTGACTTAGAATAAGTGGCTAGGTAACTAAAACATTGCTTGGTAGAATTAAGGAGCTACTTGTCTTCTTGGATCTACATTTGGGTGAGCGTTCTTGACAATGGAAGTCCCGTTTATAAGATGTTTTCCCTGAGGAGTAAACTGTCAGTCATTAGTAGTGGTAGTAATCGAAACGTAACGAAGTAGTCACTTTCGGAACCTACGGAACTTAAGCAAAAATCGAGCCCTTTCTTGAAAGACACCGCTTAATGGACTGTTACCATAGCCTATAGTTAGGAGTTCTATAGTTTAACGGTTCTAACTAAAGTAAAGTATGCATGGATTTATATGCAAGCTCCTTTATGTTCTATTTTAAATGGAACTTGTCTTATGTGTAATTTAGCACTAAAATCAACTAGTGAACTGTCAGTGTGGAGAGTATAGGTTACAAGATGAATAAATTGTACGCCCTTTGGTCATTTTGTACTTTACATGTTGAAAATTTAGAGCTTCCAAGAGGGCTGAGTAGGGTTTATCGTATAGTTTGAATACTTTTAAAGTAACTTTTCTTTGTAGTAGTCCTTTAACGATTGTGCCTTGTGGAACTGCACTTATCACCGATAAAAGTCAGATATAGTAGGGCAAAATCTGATACCGTGTGATCGCCCATATAAATAATCTGAAAGTCATACCATTGAACAATCTCCGCGGAAAAGCTGGAAGAGAAGGCTCCTTGTTGATGGTACATTTTGGAAGCCAAGTTTCACAGAAAGCCAATATACTTGGGCGTATATCATTTGTCAGCTCTCTGATCTCGAGGGCTTTCAGTCGTATCCCACTTACTTTAATGTATCTATGGTGAGTGAGAGGGACATTTTTTGAGCATCGTTAGGAGGAGACGACATTTTAAGAAAAACGTAACCAGGTAAAAATCAGACCCCAAATGATATATATTCCCTGCTTTATATAAACCTCACGATTACGGAATATTGAGATCTTATTGACCTAATGTCCAAACTTTGTGGACATTTTGGGTGGACCCACAAAGTCAAATGACCTCCATTAAGGTTAGAGTGAAATTTTGGGAAATTATAGGGGAATTTCCCCAGGTCTGGGTAAATTATGGGGTTTGGTGCCATTTCCACAAAGTTTACTATAGTGCCTCCCCTAAAATGGCTCAAATTTTCCTCAACATTGTAACCCAATTCGATCCCAAAATTTGAACCTCAAGCTCGAGGATTTACGGTGAATAGCTAACAAGTCATTAAATGTACCTCCATTAGTAAAAAAATGTGTGGATGAAATTAAATGTATATCTGAGCGCATAATTATACGATTATGAGGAATGATTGAATTCCCAGCAAAATAACTGTGTGAACGACCTTGTATTACCCTAAAATAACCGCGTGAATTTAAAATCACTTCCCTGGCTTTGAGTAAAATGTTCCAATATGAGCAAGTATTATCCTAATTACGATATGGTTTCAGGTCTTTGGAGGCGTACAATCGAAATGCAGCAGTTCCAGTAAGTTGTGCAGTTGATTATAGGTTGTTTGGTTTGAGTTTAATTTACCAAGTTTGTCGCATGTCAGTAAAGTTTCTTGTTCAGGCAGCCTGATAAACTCACCACTCAACAAACTGATGGGTTCCATTAGTAAGATTTCAATCAAGTAACATTTCGCTGATTGAGTGTACTTTTTAACACAGTGTACAGAATGAGATATCTTCGTTCACTGATAAAAAATGAAGTGCAGATTGGAGCAATCAGAATTTAGCAATTTTTTGGCCCACGCCGACTCAAAGTTCAAATCTTTTATAAAATAATGAAAAACTACGATCGTAAGAAAATCATTACAAATCTAACTTTTGTTAGATGACTATTGACTGCTTTTTACGACTATGCTAAAATACACGTTTCGTAATACTTTTGATTCCACTCAGAATGCAAACTAACCTGGGCTTCGATACCATTATCGGATTTGTAAATTCAAATGAGTGAGCATCGAAGCACAGAAGATCGAATGATAAGCATCCTTTCTAATACTTTTCCACATGCTTTTAGAGCAAACAATGAAAGTTCCCTACAGCAGTAATTTTGATATGTGTAAAAATTAACTTGATATTTTAACATGGACAAAACTATTATCCTAGTCAACTGCTGCAGAAATTCGAACTAAAAGTGACAACTAACGCTGTAAAATTTTTAAAAGCAGAATAGAACATCTAAGTAGTAGCTTTTAATAGTGAATCAAATCTTGATCTCCGAAAACGCCAGACACTATGTAGCGGTAAACAGATCCTCTAAATAAAGAGCCGTGTAAGTCTTTGACACTGGATGCTGGCCACATTACTTTTAATGGACTGAACTAACTGAAGGCACTCAGTCATGCATCCGCATCAAATCATGAGTGGGAACGCCTTGCTCAACAACCCTTGCAATAGCTAGCTCGATTGGATCAGACGATCCTCGATATATTGACAGCCTATCAAATATATCTTTGAGCCTCTTTGACACTGTCTTTTGATTTCACTTGGTGGGTACGATTAATATTAGGCGTTGCTGGTTAAAGCGTTGTCAAACTTCGAATACCTGTGACATCTTCAACTTAATAAACGACAAATGTATGAAAAGAATAATTCAACTTATAAAAATTTTACACCAACATTAAAAGCACTGTATAAGTAGTAAAAGCTTTTCACAATTGTGGGCCAAAACCCATACTGAAATACTAAGATGATGCAAAGAGAATGAAAACAAAATTGCAATCAATGTTGCCTACGGAGTGTACAGAAAATAGAGCGTTTGAAAATAATGCCTGTTTTCAAAAATAATATTGAAGAAGTATGAGGTTAAAGTTGACATTAAGTAGCGAAAAAATTGTACTACTGTAGGATCCAAACCACGTTTGGACTGCTGGACAGCTGCCTGGATAAGTTGGATACGCGCCCTCGCCCGTTTGAAACCAAAACAAGGTAATTGGGTAAGATAGCGGTCCTATAATTTATCATAAATATAAGTATACATTATTACCTAAACAAATATAACCACACAGCTATCCAACCAATAATTGTTCAATTGATCAAATCTAAACTACAATAAATAAGAAAGTTGATAAAGAATGCAAGAAAATTACCAATCACCACAAATAAATGTTATTCTATCCTGTCTGGATAGATCACGTACAGATTCGTTCAAAAGGTAACAATTGGTCGCTCTATAACACAGAGTGTTTTCAATTCTGGAAGAGTGCTTCAATTCACAACCAAAATGCACAATTCCAGTCAACACAGGTCAAGCAATCAAAAGCAGGAACCAACCAAAATGGCTGCCGCTCAGACTTAGTATAAAGTAAAACAGCATAAGTGCAGTTCGGGAAGAAACATGGGGAATTAGTGAAGGTTTGGTAAAAACAAAAACTATAATAAAATACAAAGATTAACAATTCAAATGTAGTCCAAAAGTTAACAATGTACAACTAAGAAGATCAATAGGAACAAAGTGCAAGTATATACATGGAGGGATTTTCACAAACACACAAGGCATTCAAAATGGATCTTACAACTACATGTAGTAAAGTACAGTGTCACATGAGGTTTAAGTGTTTTATACGAAAGTGTCATACTTATGTAAAAGAATACGTGAATATCGCAAGGGCGCGGACAAAAATGAAAATGTTAGCATGCAACTATGAGGTAATTAATAAGCGTACAAAAAATTAACACGCATTTATGACTGTTTGAACGATAAAAAAACGAGTTTGTATGAGCGATTCAAAATATCATGTAAACAGTAATAAATCGTTTATGGGTATGATAGAAAAATTAATCGTGAAAATAAGTATAGTAGAATATGACAGGAATTGGTGGCGAGACTCTAATTTAGGGACGACCTTTGAACGAATCTTAAATGACCTTGACAATTATTAGTCAATCAGAAGACAGTTAGTATAAAGTGAAAATATATTATAGGTAAGTAATGAATTACAGTGGATATTCTTCTTTTACATGATTAAAAAACTTGTTAAGGTTTGATAAAGGTTCAGAGGTTCTGAATTCATAATGCATACGGCATGGAAATTTGTCCATAGAGTTAGGTTTAAGGTTAGGGTAAGGTTAGGGTTAAGATTAGGGTTTAGGGTCAGGGTTTAGGTTTAGGGTCTAGGGTTAAGGTTTAGGGTTAGGGTTAGTGTTGGGGTTGTAGGGTTAGGTTAGGGTTAGGGTTAGGGCTTAGAGTTAGGGTTACGGTTAGGGTTAGGGTCAGGGTTAAGGTTTAGGTTAGCGTTAGGGTTGTAGCCTACCAATAAACACCTCTTTCCTAAGATCCGATGTAAACCGATCTCATGTTAGCACACTGACCCTAACCTAACCCTACCCTTAACCCTACACCCTGAACCCTAACCCTAACTTTAATCCTAACTTAACCCTAACCCTAACCTTAACCCTAAACCCTAACCCTATGGACGAGTTTCTTAACTGTATGTATTGTGAATTCAGAACTTCTGAACCTTTATCAAACCTTAACAAGTTTTTTAATCATTTAAAAGAAGAATATCCACTGTAATTCATTACTTTCCTCTAATGTATTTTACTTTATACTGTCTTCTGATTGGCCAATAATTGAAATTGCTCAAACGCTTCTGATTTGCTCGTCCCTAAATTAGAGTCTCGCCGAATTGGTCTGTGATGCCGACAGAATAGTGAAATATGAACATGCTCTAATGAGCCGCATTAGAGTAGGTAGCGTCGCGTATCGATGGGCGGATTCGAATTTAAATACGTAGAGTCCCCGTTAATAGGATAAAAATAGCCAAGTTGTGAAATGATAAATGCATCGACGGGCGATATCCGTTGCTCTACTACGATTGATAATAATTATAGAATGTGAATTCAGTATACATTGTGGTTTGAGTTATGGCATATGCATTGAGTTATCCTTAAATATGCATTGGTAGAATGATCAGAGGAACGTAATAGTGATTGGGGAGATGAGGTACGTAGAGTCGTATTCCTTTGTTACGAAAACGGACCAAGGCATGATAAATATTCCAAGACATATGATTAAAGATGGCAACCAGTGAGAGTGACTTGGATTTGATGAACAATAGTGTGTCTTTGAGAGACTAGCACTATACTCTATGTTCTGGTATACAGTGCGATGGGAACAAAATAGTATTTGCGGTAGTCGAATAATGTTTTTGATTGATGATTGATGTAGCATGCACTTGGACATGTGGGCGAACAGATAAGATGAACGTAATCATTACCAATCAGCTCGTAGATTTAGAAGCACCGGTGGACATAATAAGAGGCAATACCGAAATTTAGAATGTGTGGTATGATGACATAGAAAATGACCTCGACTAAGTGAATGAGTGTAATCTTAGGCCAAAATTACATGGGGAAAAAAATGGAACAAACTCACTTAGAGCAGGAAAATTCTACGTTATTTTTTTGATGGAAATAGTCCAGTGAGTTGCAAATGTCATAACGTGAATCGGATGTTAATAACATTATAATTCGATGGTTGAGTGATGCAGTTGAGTAAATATCAGCACGAACAAAAATAATAATTCCACATTCATTCATGATAGGACACTAATGTAATAATGAGCATGTGATGATAATTAGAATCATAATGGAATGGTCTGCCAGATGGATATGTCATAACTTGTGAACCCGTGTGCCCTGTATATTGGATAACGCAATGATACAGCCAGTCAGAGAGCAGCGAATTATCGATCGAACCAGTGACCCACAAAACACATGCAAGCAGCCTAGAGTCCTGATTGGTCTCGCTTCCTGTCTAGCCCAGCAAGTTAAGTCCAGAATACCAATCTTAGCCAGAAATCTTCTGGCCATCCCAACAAGTACCGAATTCCCGGGCCCCCTGCCGGTCAAGGCAGTCCGGGCAACTTCACAGGAGTTCTGGCTGACGAAACTCAGTATACTCTTAAGAACTTGTAGATCATCAACGCAGATGATCTGTGTCGGATTACTGGGGATCATCTCGAGTCAGATGAAAATGCTGTGAACAACCAGCTGAATTCAAAGTCACTTCTCATGGTTATTGCCTAACGTAGGTTGCCTTTCCATCGTATTCAGATACTACTGGCTACTTCGATGACCGCACAACACAAACGACGCTATTAGTAAAGTCAGGTTAAAGGAACAGTGTTCGACCACTGCTGCATGGGCCGGTACATGGTGTGAAATTAGCTGATGCAAGTTTGTTGTTCTTCACTTTGACGAGGATCGGTGAAATGTTCGACATTTGGCTGGGGCACAGTGACATCCCAGATTCAGATTCAGATTCAGATTTGTGTAGTAAGGGGAGAAGGCCTACGGCCTATGTTATTCCTTTTCTAGTATGCTTCTGTGAGTGTCCAGTCTTCTCTTGAAAGCGTCAATTGAAGGTGCGGACACCACTGCTTCAGGCAGCAGGTTCCAAGTATTGATGACTCGGTGTGAAAACCTGTATGCCACGAGTATTTTGTTCGTTCTTGGCTTTTCTACTCGCCTGCTATGTCCTCTGAGGTGTCCCGATCTAGTGGGAGGGAATAGAGAGAATAAATTAGGTCCGAAATCATTTCTCAGTATTCTGTACATCAAAATTAAATCTCTTCTTAGTCTGCGATAGGACAGAGTAAAGAGGTTCGGTTTTTCAAGCCGCTCTTTGTATGAAAAACCCCGGAGTTCCGGAATTGAACGGGTAGCTGCTCTCTGTACTTTTTCTATTATGTCCGAGTCACCTTTTACACAGGGGCTTGCAGCCTGAACGCAGTTTTCTAGCCTAGTTCTCACTAAGGATGTGTATAATGTGGTGAACATGGTCGTATCTAACTTAGTGAATGTCCTGTTTAAAGCCCAGAGGGTTCGAAACCCCTTGGCTGCGACCTCCCGGTAATGGGCCGTCGTCTTAAGATCATTACTCACTGTCACCCCTAGATCTTTATGAGACCGGACTACTGGTAATGACACATCCCCTATGTTGTACGTATTAACCTTTGAATCCCCCAAGTGCATGTAGACACACTTTCCCGAGTTCATAGGCATCAGCTACTCCTTAGACCAGTTTACCATATTATTTAAGTCTGCCTGAAGAGTAAATGCGTCTTTGTCTCCAGTTACTACCCGCCAAATTTTTACATCGTCAGCGTATAATAACATTGGAGACTGTACTATACTTGTAAGATCATTAACGTACATTATAAAAAGTAAAGGGCCTAAGACGGAACCTTGGGGTACTTCACTAAGTACTGGTCTCCAGGTGGAGCACTTGGAATTTATTCTTACTTTTTAAAAAAAAAAAAAAAAAAAAAAAAAAAAAAAAAAAAAAAAAAAAAAAAAAAAAAAAAAAAAAAAAAAAAAAAAAAAAAGTCTATTAGTTGGCACCTTGTCAAAAGCCTTACTGAAGTCTATGTAGACAACATCCACTGAGTTTCCGTTGTCTAGCGCATTAATCCAGAGCTCCCTAGCTATAAGGAGGTTCGTTGTACAGGATAGACCCTTTCTAAAACCATGTTGTTCCATGTTCAGCAAGTTATTGGTTTCCATAAATGCTGTTATGGTCCGTTTGATTATTCTTTCCAGTATTTTAATTACAACACTGGTGAGGCTTACGGGTCTGTAATTTGATGGAACTTGTCGTGGACCTGTTTTATGTATGGGAGTGACGATTGCGTCCTTCCAGTCCATAGGTAACACACCTTGGTCAAGTGACATTTTGAATATCACAGTCAGTGGGGCTGCGATATATTGGGCAATATGTCTCAAGATTTTAGGGTGTAGTTCATCTGGTCCTGTTGACTTCTCCATGTTTAGGGTGCTAAGAGCCTTAAGCACATCGTTTTGGTCGAAGTCCACGGTGAGCAGCTGGTTTGTTGACTCTGTAATTGGGTCTGGTTCTTTCTCTAGAGGAGGTTCCTGAGTGAAAACTGCCCCAAAGTAGTCAGCCATAACCTCAGCTTTTTCCTGATCTTCCTCTATCATTTCAGATTCACTTCCTACTTTAATTAGGTTGGGAATCCAATGATGAATCCTTGTTCTGTAGTTTATGTACGAGAATATCCTCTTGGGCTGCTTGAGTGCAGATTCTGCCAGCTGCATTTCATATTTTCTTTGCGCTTCCCGAATTTTAGTTATACACTCGTTTCTTATCGATCTGTAACGTTCCATCGTACCCGCTGTGCCAAGGCGGATGGCAACATCCCAGCATTTCTTCTTTTGTCTTAGTAAGCGTCGAATATCCCGCCCTATCCAGGGATGTCCGTGCTTCTTTTTCTTTGGGACAGTCCAGGGTATGTATGGTTGAGTTACCCGATTGTATAACTGCCTGAATAGAGTCCATGCCTCTTGTACTGATGCCTTTGAGTCGATTTCCCAGTTCTCAGCCGATGCTGCGGAGTTAATTGCCTGCATATCTGCCTTCCATATGTTAGGACGGGCCGGCGCAATTGTTTGACAAGCAATCTCAGCCATGAATTTGAATAAGATGACTGCATGGTCACTTCTCCCAAGTGGTGGGAGAAAAGCCGTTTGACCAACGTCATCACCGTGTGTGAAGACTAAATCTAAAAGAGAAGAGTTTCTTAAGTCGTATCTTGTGGGATCTCTAATGTGTTGGAATAATGCTAGTCCAATCGAGGTTTCTAACAGTTTGGAGTCGAACGACGATATGGATGACCCTACTTCTAAGTTAACCCAGTTTATATATGGTGCATTAAAGTCGCCTACTACAAGGCTTTTACCGTTGTTACACCAGGACTTAAGTTTACTAAGGAGAAAATCATCTGCTACACATTCTGGACTGCGATAAACTACAACTACTTCAATATCTTGCCTTCGGCATTTCAACTTACATCTCACCAGTTCACATGTCCCTGAAACATGTGCTACTGTCTCAGCTAATCTTATGGTTAGGGTACTTTTGGTGTACAAATAACCCCGCCTCCCCTTCGGTTTAATCTATCAGCCCTACTGGTTATGAAACCAGTCAATTGGATTTCACTATCTAATACCTCTGACGTTAACCAAGTTTCCGAGACAGCGATAACGTCCGGTTTTTCTTTGTCCACCACTGACTTCAGCTCCGCCATTTTATTTAGTAGGCTGCGAGCATTTGTGTAGCACACTTTTAAGTCTGTGGAGAGCTTTCCCTTGCCACCCAGAGTGGCTTGGGGATCGTTTTGCTCCGAACTTTTACAATCTGAAAACCCTTAAGAACGAGGTTTCTTTCACCGTTTCGGCGACGCTCGTTTATTTCCGCTTCTGCAGCTCTTCTCTTAATACGATCAGCTAGGCTGAGGTCCTCACGGACATATATTCCGGATCCAATCAGTTTACGTGAATTACTTAGAATCAGGTTCCTTTCTTCCACCGTGTTGAATGTAACCTTTAGGAGGCGGTTTTTCTGAGGACTTTCGGAATCCACCTTTTTTCCTATTCTATAAAGCTTACAAATACTAACTCCTGAAACTGTATCTGGGAGTAGTTTACTTAATGATGTCTTAATATGATTGAGATCATGTTCAAATCTTGCCTTTGGTTCAGTATCTGAAGATTCTCTTATCTTATGAAAAATGACTGATCTATCAGAGAGATCTGTCTTTTCACGCGGTGGGGAATTTTTTTCTGATAACATCCCTTCCAATGTTTTGCTGACCAGCTGCGTTTTGCCTACAGCCTTTTTCTTCTTATTTTTTTTCTTCTTACCGAAGTCCATTTGTCACCACTCAGAACAGCCACACCTGGACTATGTGGAACGGTGACAGTTTTATCCGGATCTTCTATTTCGACTAGAGGTGTATGACTGCCGATGTCATTATCAAGCGACACTTCATTTCTCGTTAATGTCAACGGAGATTTCACGTTCCCGTCAACCGCAGTCAGGTGTTTAATGGGTCCAGTAGCAGCACTTACTACACTGACACATTCTTCATCGTCAGTGCTCCTGTTATCAGTGCTTCCGCCATCATTTTTCTTGCAGGCCAAAGCCAATAGGCCCATAGCCTCCTGTATTAGTACCTTTTTATCCGTACAGCAGAACATACAAAGCCAATGCGAGTTAGGCTTCGAGCATCTTTTGTAAGCCGTCGGACTTAGTCGTGTACACATTTTGTGATACCACTTTTTACAGTCGTCACACTGCATTCCCTCCTCAACGGAGAACAAACAATTTGGTTGCCCACATTTGTGAGTCTTACCAACCATTTTAATTCGATTTAAAAGGTTTAAAAACAAAAAATGATAACAATGTGAACACAAATGTTAGTCAAGGACTAAAAACAGGTACTCAGGACAAAATTTAGTAAAAAATTTCAAACTTTAACCAAAGAACTCTTAGTTAAAGTAGACCAAGAATGCTTTTTAGTGCAATAAGTACCAAAAGCAAGTATAATCACAACAAGTACAAAAATCACTGCCCTTTTTGAAACTAGCGCGGTTCCCACTGCACTATTAACCCATATGACTTATTAATACTTCCTTTTTACCTGCCAAGTACTCCTAGGTCCGTAACTGGAGGTAATACTGATCTCCTGCTTTCAGATGTAGAAACCTATTAATCGAATGCTTCAATCCCTTCTATAGTCTGTTGAACCACGGACACTGATATTACTTCGTAATTAGAATGATATGCACAATTAAGCAGCGAGTAGATATCATTACATAAAAACCCCAGTGAAACAAGAAATACAACAGGTATTCTTGACTTTTAAAGTTATTAACTGAAATGATATTCGTTATAATTAATTGTATCCCAACATTTGCCCCACCCGTCTTTTTCAAATCAAGGCGAATTTCGCAACTTGATTGATAATCACGATCGTCGGTAAGTATCTTTATCAATCTTTGTGGCATATAAATATTTTCGAATTTATTGCCTCATTCATAGTTTTTACCAATATGACCGAATGTTCCAGATAATTTGAACCAAGTAAATTTCAGTGGGATCGTACGTCACCATAAATTACGTACCTTAAGGTACGTACCTCGCAGGAGAAACTCGGTCCACCTTTTCTCTTGTTCTTTACTTGGTGCCTAGTAACCACACATATCTAGGGACTAAGTGGTTTCACATTATCAGCAAGTGTTTGTAGATGGCTGACTGAGCACAATGTTTTCGGGATTTCTACTCACTTTCTGTTCAGGCGCTACTGAACATCAGTCTTCGGACATAGAATAAAAATGCGTTCCAGTTGTAAATAAACTGGATTCCAAACAGTTTTCAGCCCTAGAAATTCTTTTTGTAGTTGAACAGGACTTATCAGCTGCACACTTCTTTTTGTGGTAATTGCATGTTGCAGTTTCTACGCAGTTGTGAGAAAAAAGTGCTCACTTGAGACGTGCTTATGTAATAAATTGAGTTGTGCCTAATGTGATAAGTGTAGTTGTCCTTGGAGAATAGGGTCTGTAGAGCGATGCTTAATTTTATGACTTTGGAATTCGAGTTGTGATTCAGAGTGGAGGCGCTGAGTTTCTAACACAAGTAATATACAAGCGATTCCATTTATCTAAATAAAAAGTTCGGACATTCCAACCTAAAAAGCTTGCGAGACCGAAAGCTTTGTATGGTTCTGTGTTACTATCGTAACTCCAATAGTGAAATGTCTATTCGGCGAAAGTGTATGCTATTTACTTATTCGCTTTCTAAATTTGTGGCTGTTTAAAATAGAAAGCATCCATAGGTTACTGGTACGCGAACATAAGTGTCTCCAAATCATTTCGTATCTTGGAACGACTGAGGGTGGACTGTTGAGGCTAAGCGCAAATTATGAGGCTAGTATTGGGAATCGGTCGATAAGATAGTGAGTCTTCATCAACCAGGGTGGTCGAGACATTTATTACATATACCTTAATGTTCGATTTAAACTGAAGCAGAAAGAAAATGGAGGAAAGTTAGGGACATCGAATGAGAATGTGACGTCAGTCTATGATTTCACCAACTTGGTTTGGGTAGTGCTGGTTGTTTCAGACAGCTTGGTAGGCGTCCACTCGATGGGGACGGTCACAGTTGGATGACGTGGTTCGACGTTAATCACAGTAGCTAAGATGCATCCAGTCTTTGTTTTCCCTCAGGTCCTTTGCATCAAAATTATTTTGTTTATTTCGTTTCTTAAGTTTACTACCATACTACCTTACTCCAATCTCTTCGTCATTGTTCTCTTTTTCTTTTGCGCTCCTTAGTTTTTTTTCTACTTCTCTTCGAATTCTCATTGTTTTGTGTGGCGCATATATATTGGCGCTCCCTTGTACCAATATTCATGTGTTCAAATAAATAAATAAATAATTACCGAAAGACAAATATTGGTATAACTGGGCATCAAATTCAACATGCGTTATATAATAGGGAAATGTAGTTGTGAATTAATTCCTTTCCAAGTCATTTCCAATATCTGGTCATTGTTTGCTACTAAGGATGTTACTACTATTCGGTATTCATCTCGATAATATCATCTCTGCGATTTGTTGTATCAACTTTATTTGATGCCGAGATCTGCCTGGTTCTTGGTATTATGGTCAAAAATTAGACCTGACAATCAAATCTTAATTCACTTGACTGGACGACCTACAAAACTGATTTCTTCAATTGTTTATAACACCAGATCACGTTTATTTTCCATGCTAATAGTTTTTACGTAGGCAAAACGTGGCCATTAGGAGTAGATATTCGTAAGTTACTAGTACTTGACCACAGATGTTTTGGAAATATTGCTCTCATTTGCTGAGATCATTGTGTAAGTAAAAGTTAAGTTATACGCAGGGTATTAGGTAGTGATGGTAAGTCAGTTGACGACGTTGTAAATCTTCATCGTCTGAGATGGTTGGGCCACGTGTTACGCATGCCTGGACACCGACTACCACGACACCCAATGCTGACTAGTGTTGGGGATGGTTAGAAGAAAGTTCGGGTGGCCAAACCAAAACGTGGCATCAATGTTTGAAGTCACTAACGTCTGGTCTGTGACATGTTGGTAGATGTACACTACTTGTTTGGGGTCCGCGTGACTATTGTAACCAATGGTTGGAGACTGTGGGTGACATGGCTCAGAAGCGATCACAATGGCGTAGGCGTATACACTCTCTGTCTTCCCTTAAACTGTGAGATTAAAATCGTCTTATATGTTTCTTTCTACGAACTAATTCTTTCTTCCTGTACTATATCGTGATATGCAATCTTTTACATATTACTACGATTGAATTAAGTACTTCTATTAACTTGGTGTTCATTTTGTTGTGTTAATGAGATATAGCAACTTGGACCGGTACATATATGTGCCTGGTCCTGTGTTGTAGCTGACTGACTGAACGCCTGACACAGACAATTAAGACCATTAAACTCCTATTTGCATTTGAGTAACTGGTGAAATTAGGGCTGTAGGGATTTGGTCCTGATAAACTCCAACCCCTCTGCTCTTCACATACGAATGTAATTTCCCTAATTGGATGGCAGTCAAATTGTTCTGAGAGCATTAGCACGACATACATTTGATCTAATCATGTTCCATGACAAATTGTGTTGGGAGATACTGACTGGCCCATTCTCAGTCACTCGGCTACGGTAGATACATGAGAAAGACTCAAGAATCTTACATAACATTATAAATATACTAACGTTTTTCTTATTGTGATTCTTACTCCAGTCCTACCGTGTTTATTTAGAATATAATTAAATACTTTTCCAGGCTGTGTTCTGATTTGAGGACTTGTCGAGTGAATTAGTGTCTGAATAATACCAACCAATAAGGGTAGTTGGGCCGGATAACGAAAGACTTAACAAAGTGAAGGAATAGTCTTACTCGCTTGATGGTATTTCAGTCTAAAAATGTGTACGTAGCTTTTTCAGGAATTGGAGTATGTCTTGCATCTCAAATATTGAGTGGTGCCATAGTGATCAAACCATACAAAACTAATGAAAAGTTGACTAGCAGAAGACGGGTTTTATACTCAGATTGTAAGTACATCAATCACATTTTCACCCTTCCCTAAATACTAAAACCGCCACATGTTTAAGGGACCAATAAATGCCATTTCCTCACACATGTTATGCCTACTAGATTGAACGGAATCATGGTTTATAATTATTTGGTAAAAAAAAACTTATAGAACCTAGCATTTTACAAGCCTTGTGGATAAATGGCATATGTAAAAATATTGATTGCCTTGCTTCAGTTCTATCGAACCAGCCGGGACATTTTAGTCTGATTTTGGAATCCGTTTACACTGGCATTTCAGTAATTGCTCTTATAAAAGTATTTAAAGCGGTTGATATTTCTATCTATAGAAGTAATACAACATTCACTATTCAGGAGATACCATTAAGTTGTGGCACAAAAACTGTACCAATCGCCCCTAATTTTCAGCACTTAGTATCTGTAATTGTGGTATTCGCAAATCCCTTTTTCAATCTGAGGAAGAAATAATGTACATTTTTCTCTTTATAATGAACCTTTGAGTAATGCTAGAAACATCGTATAGTAGAGCCGGAAGTGACCTTCATTTCTATCTTTTGTTACCATGACAAGTTATACGCTTCAGTAATCATTGTTCTTATCTGAATCTGCACGGACCACTAAATTGGTGAGCTACTAAAAGTTGGTAGCTCTTGTTGATCTGACTAATTTGCACAGTGCGATTGCATATACCGTGAATATAAATTTCCCGTTTAATCCCGTATACTACACCTATGCTGACCCCGCTTGTGTGACTGCTGTAATGAGAAGCTAAATATGGGTTGCTGGATGAATTTATTTCAGGCTTTCGTTTACTCAGGCAAACACAAATGGGAAGCGGTAAAGCAAGACAGAGAAGTGTGCCAACTCCGTTTGCTTGGGTGTGACTCACTATTTGTAGCCAGGCAAAAGTAGGCTTAATATACATGAATAGGGTAAGCGATACACATACATATAAAAAAGTCAAGGTTGTAGGTGATTAATTGACATGGTGAAAATATGGTATTGACAGTAACTTGAGAAGAATAAGTTAATTGGTCTGTCCGAAAGCTAGAATAACTGGTGTGGGCGTAACATAGTACTAGATATTACAAGTTCGTGTCTTAAGTAGTGAAATCTAGTTAAATGTCATACTCCACGTAACGTCCTACTATATTATTTCCTTTGATTTTCTAGGCAATTGTTCATGGGCGCTATAAATTCACTAATAGATACCCCAGGCGGTTATTCTGTTCTTCAGAGGAATTCAGAAACTCGTCATTGTCGTTTTTGTGGGTCTGCTTACAACGATGTTTGTACCAAAGATATTCACACGTCACGTTTGGAAGATCATCATCCTGCTGAGCTCTGTGGTATTTGGCTGGGAAGATTGTATTCAAATCAGATGAAAGAGATCCGTATACATGGAGACTTCACAGCTTTGTCTGCAACTCAGTCACACTGTGCTGAAACTGAAGGTAATTTTGAATCAGTAGGATCTCCGCTGATCACATTACCAAAGCGTTCCTGCGCCCCAACACGGTCACAAGTTGCGACGTTGCTTCGACATTCTGACACCACAAAAAACCAATCCACATTAAAGGATTTTTTTTCTACAATGGATATTCGTAATTCAAGTTCAGTTCAGTATACAGAACTTGAAGGTTGTCATATTAACGGGTGTTTGTTCGTAGAACATGGGAATTTGGTTTTCCAAGCTGCAAGCAAGAGGTCACATGTTCCATTTCTGCTCATCGATCAACAAATGCTGGGACCAACTAGCGACTGTGTTGCTCCAATATTTCATCGTAAGTCTCACTATAGTGACAATGCATCAACTTACCATAACATCATGACCACGAAGAATAAATGATTTGTCGAATTATGATTCTAAACATTTTGATTCTCAGTCGTCTTAATATCTTAAATATTGTTTCAGTAATCACTTTGTATTGTTACAAATAATTGTAGTTTTACTTCGTGAGTTTCTGTATGTGAAATTATTGAAGTGAAGTCACAAACTTCAGGTTATCAACATATTTGTCTGAAACATTTAGTGAGCAGGTATTGACCTCTAGATTGTTATATTAACATTACCGTTGATCTTATAGATAACATCAATCTTCGTTTGACAAAAACCCATATTAATTAGTAGCTATGTATGTAATTCATTAGCAATCTATTTGGCATAGTTGTATCAGCGTGATTACTTTTCAGGAAATCCTAGGTTCAAATCTCGGTACCAGATATTCACACTACGTCAGGTCTTAGAACATAGACACATATTCAGACGCCCCACAATCGTAGTGTTTCTTGACCTTGAGGCGGCATTTGACTTAGTTGATTGTGAAGTTCTGTGGCAGTGTTTGTTACTGAAAGGAGTACCAAAGAAGTACATCTTCAATCCCTAATCTTCCCTATTACTGCTTATACTCTTACTACCTCTACCACTACGGGATTCGAATCGACAACTGTATCTCTGTGCTAATGTGGTATGGCAACTTGAACTGATGTACGTACGTACGAAGTTCTACCTTGTTACTGACTGACTGAAAGATATATAAGTAAAGATATAAATCTATTGTGCTTCTTTTGGTGATATGTATATATGCATGCTTTAGCAGTAAAGGTGGGTTTGGTCTTGTCTTATTAGTCTAAACATCTATTTTTTCGACGGCTGACCCGTAGATTCGAACGAATCTTTACCTGTATTTTGTAGCTCATGGCTTAGTATACTAACTTAGGATCGGTTATTAAGTTACTTCGTGGACAGATGGCATTTGTCAATTTAGTCGTGTGCACTCCTTTAATGAAATGTAATAATGCATAGAAGACTTAATGATAAGTCGGTCCTCCATTTTTATGCAAACCAATGAAATTCATTAAATTATCCAAAATCCAATAATGCAAGACCCATACAAACGAGATTGTTTTTTTTAAAATAATTTTTTTTATAGTAAAGTAACGTATTTCAATTGTTCATACAATGTTTCTTATGCATATGTACATATTTTTTTGATAAATCAACATTAGAAACTAATAGAGAACGATTCCTTGACAATCCGAAACTGCATTGCTCAATTCAGCGTCCATTACCGATTTCTTCATTTCTTGAAAATGGTTCTCATTTGGGGAATTCAGATACGGTTGGACAGAAATGCTCAGCTTCACTAGTGGATAATCCTTATGTATCGACAAACAGGTAATTTTTTCATTTATATCTGCCTCTATAATATATGTGTAATTCACATTTATCGTATGAATCTGTCATTTTTATTCTTCATTGGTTATCTGTTGGCGGAATTTAGATTGGATTAAAGCATGTTCCGTGTAGTATGGTGTTGGGGCAGGCTGACCGATCATTTCTTAGCCTGTCAGCGCTAACGGATTCCTGGAGAAGATTCTAGAATCTTCTCGTGTGAAGTTATAAATACACTAACGTCTTCCTTAATTGTGATTCTTACTCCGATCCTTTTGTGTTTAGCTAGAATATAATTACGTTCTTGTTCAACAGTGTTCTGATTTGAGGACTTGTTGAGTGAAGTAAAGTGTCCAAAGAATACTGAACAATAAGAATAGATGGGTTGTAATAATATGCTTGCGAAACCTGGCCTCTCCGAGTTGAGAATGTTAGACGACTTTCTGTGTCTATTGATTGTTATTTCCGAAAAATTGCTAACATCCAGTGGCAATACCATGTTAGTAATGCAGAGGTTCGGCATCGTGTGTTCAGGCACAGCAACGACAATTCAATTGTTGTCACTATCTTAAAACATCGACTTCGGTGGCTTGGTTATGTTCTACGAGTGTCATCCCAGAGAATTCCAAGTCGTGCATTATTTTCCGACGCTGGGACTAGTTGGAAAAGGCGGAAAGATAGTCAATGTATGACACGGTGTCGTGGTATGAAAGAAAGCTGTACATGGCTGGCTTCTATCGGTCCTTCACGACTTCTTGTTGGGGTCCGAGAGATGGTGCAACACAGTGGCTAGAGACGTTATCAGATACGGCTCAAAATAGAAGGCAGTGGCGATCGTGTTGTAAATTTCTTTAAGGACGGCCCATGGGTGAACTCAAGGAAGCTCTAAGACGCTCAGAAAGAGCCGGATTCATTCTACCGAGTCATCTTTTGGAAGGACGTTCCAGAATCTCGACTGGTAGCTTCCTTGTTGGGCAAAAGCTTAAAAACCACTGCATGCAGATCGGATGACTGTAATGATGATTTCGCTTTTCCTAAAGACTATAAATACCTGAGAGTTTTGCACCATATTTGACACTTTTTGGAATAAAATTTCTTCTCACTCGTCTTCTGTCTTCTCATTTACTACTTGGAGGGTTCTAGTGTTTGAGTGCTCAAGTTGTACGTGGTATATCAAAGAATGTAAGCTCTTTATAGCACTTTCTTTTACTTTCTTCATAAAAAATGAACGTGACTTCTTTAGCTGGAAGAATTATCACTGGTTGTACCTTTGCTAACCGAACTACCTCTCCCATTCTTCTTGTTATTATTATTATTATCATTATTATTATTATTACTATACTATCATACACTAATTTTTGTTCGTTATCGCTCTCCTTTTTCTTATACACACTTTACATTCTCTATCTCTTCTCATTCTCATTGTTATTGTGTGACGCATATGTATTTGGTGTCCCTTTGTACCAATATTTATGTGTACAAATAAATTAATAATAAACAAAAGAGACATCATAACATTATCATTGTCATCAATTCATGTCCAAATTCGCAAAATGTTTTTGAAACAACCCATAGTTCGTAGAAAATATTAGACTTGTTGGGCGAAAAGCCTAAAATATCAAGATGTTTGATATTCGTCGACTGTTTATCATCAGGTCGAAAATCAAGTCCTATGCATACGCCTATTAAGAAAGAAACATGCGAAGTAAATCCTAGTAATTGTAACATCATCTGCTTTTCTAAATACTGTTGGCCCCAATGAAAACAGGCTGGCAAAATTGTCATTTGTCAGATTAAGATGTATTACTAATTTATAAGGTGTTTGTAAGAAACGTGTGCTTGCTTGTAGTTGATTTTTGATCATCACGAGAAATGCACTTTTATTTCTCATCTAAATATTTGCCATTTTATCTTACTTCAGTTTGTTTATTTTTCGTCTTCTCATGCGTTTTGTAACACTCACCTTTATTGTTTATCTTTCCTACTGGTTGTCTCTATCTATTATAGAATATCCGTAACAGGTAGATAATTGGAACTGTTGTACTATTTCATCCAGCTATAGATGGTTCTATTTTGTCATCTAGTAACACTATTATGTATATATCTAGTGGCTTAATAGGCGGTATCACGAATACACGAGAACTTATTCTTAAGAATAATCATTATAAATTGGTCTATTTATTTTATTAGAAAAACTGAAGGTCAAAGTTCCTAAAATCGTGTACATCTTACACGTCAGTGAACATTAAGTAAATAATCCAAGGACCGTGTTAACAGCAATATCTAATGAACAGCATAGTCCTAACCTTTTCTCAACCTAGTTTTTTTTAAAGAAATCGTAATCATAATTATTTCGACATCAACAGAGCTTAATACTCGACAGTGTTTTTCATTGTTCAATTTAAATTCTGTATAAAGTAAGAAACAATCGGTATTTACATATTTGTACATTTAATTTTAATAAATTTCTGTTTTATTTTAAACCGCCCCCAAATTCCCTGGTAGGGCCGAAAATGAGGAGAGTCAGCTCTCCTTATCCAAATGCTCTCACTTGACCACGCGTATACAGCCACTGCCAGGGAAGTCCTACTCACTGACTTCTTGCGGCGGGGGCGTTTTTTACGAAAGTGATGGGACAGAAAGCGAATGTCCGGTGCTCTAACCGGGTTGGCGGATACGGAGAATCCACCTAGGGGAGTTGGAAAACCTTGATTCCAAACTAATGGTGTACATGGACTACATGATTCTAAGGAAACTGTTATATCCTAGTGAAGTTTACATTACGAGTAACGTCTGAGACCTATTAATGGACTGATATTATTTATATATTCTCATGGTATAAATATTCAGTAAATAAATAATGCATATCTATAGTCCCCTTGTTATAAGCTCTATTTTGACTTACATATTATTATTGTACGGTTTTATTGTTCTTAAGCTATGTTCAGTTTATTGACTACTGTCTCCCATGTTCACAGCCACTTTTTGGCTTTATTGTGTATGAATGTTGTTTCCCACTTTGTGGTGCGTTGCGGTCCGTCTGGTTGATATATAAACCCAGTATTTCTGAAATAAATGATTCGATTCGATTCGCATAGTAGAAGCTGATATTAGTGTTCTGGACTCAAGTGGACGGGCTAGGCGAACATAGAACCAATAAGGACGCTAGGCTCCTCTTACCGGTCGAACGTCATTGGTTTGGCACAGTGCTAAGATTGTATAAGTCGTGTTTTGATTGGTGGATAAATCACGTGATAACTAGCCGGACGTAAAGTCACAACATAAACAAATGGTGTATGAAGCAATGGTTGGTCACCGGCTACTATGGGACTGTATCTCGTGACGTTGCTCCACTACCTTGTGGATTAGACGTTTAGGTTAAAGGCTCGGGGTGTGGCCCCCTAAGAAAATTACGTGGTTCGGTTTTGGCACCCGGACAGTATCCTAGCCTTCACAAACATCGAATGATTTATTTGGCGCATATCTGCTTGGTGCTTCTTTGTACCAATGTTTATGTGTTTAAATAAATCAATAAAATTATTGTAAACCGAACCTTTGCGGTAGCGTTTTGTTAAGAAATACTTTTGAAGGTTATTCGGTGAATGGATGTAGTGATAATCTATCACTTGATAATATTCCATGTTACGATTATTAGTGCAAATTATTAAAGTCAGCTTCTAATAGAAAAGATATTAGGTGACAAAATAGCCCTCTGATAGAAGTGTTTTTCTGTAATAAGAATAAAATGATTATGCACTAAGTGTCACAAATTATTGGACTATATCAATTTTATGAGTCACTCACTGTTCGATGGATTAAAACTCTGCTGTTAGGCTTAATTCTGCTCCTGCTCTGTCAACATGGTCTATGGGAGGAAACTAATTGGTCAGATTAAGAATTTTTATTGAGGTCATGAATCGACCAATCTTAAACAACAATTGAAAACCCTGAAACACTGGTCGGTAGTTTCGTTCTAGTACGGGATTCTTCAGTGGTGTGCATCGTCCATCCCACCCGCGGGGCTCGAACCCAGGACCTTGGGTCTTGCGCGGTTGCTTAACCTCTCCCCCAATTAATGATTTAGACCTATTTGTCGCTTCTGAAATAACCCCTAAGTTTTCGTTCTTGTTGTTATCATATAGCGTTTAAGGATACTATGCAGTGGTGTCTTGTCTTAATAAAAATTGTGAATTCTATAGTAGCGTTTCTTATTTTATCACTTAGTAGTGTTAAATAGAATGTTTTGGGGGGCATCAATTCAATTAAAGTCCTATTTTTACATTTTATTGAATGCAAAATAATGTGAAAAACAAGTGAGACTGAATTTCTGATATTCAGCAACATACTATCCAGTGCTATTTACTGCAGCCAAGATTAACTTTTTTTAGTTATTGATAAATATTAACCAGTGGTATCTGACACTTAAAAATTAATTACTTTTGCAGGTACCCTGAAGATGTCAAACCTCGTCTTCCACCACCACCTTTAAGATTGTCATGGCCGTTAGTCACTTTACGTCGTTTTGGCTTCTATGGCAATAGTTTGTTTAAAGTGGAAACAGGTAGACGGGCTCCACGCGGTGAAGGACTGTACTTATTTCGTATCAAACATTTACGAGAATTCAGAAAGTCATTTGAGGTTAGTTTCGGGGTTCGTTAATTTTAAAGTCTTTTTTATGTTTTCATTGAATGGAAAAAACCATAACTACGGAAAATTAATTTTAAGCATGTAATAACTTAATGAAACACTTGTACTGATATTTACTATTATTGCAGATACAACCATCATTTCTTAATATTTAACCGAAACAAAGATTGGCACTGCTCGATTCATGGAAAAACAGTGAGACTGCAGATAAATAGTTTGTTATGCACCAACCGCTGATTCATAACTGATTAGAACTGCTTAGAAAATTGGTGAGATATATATCGTTTGATTACCTAGCTAGTAGTCCAATTCAAATACAATCCAACCGGGGAACCACTTTATATTGATCGACCAGTAATTTAATGTATGCATACAATCTACAATATCACTAGGTCAAGTTGATTTGACTAACAAGTACAACTAAATTATTTAGGAAACGTACCGATATTAATATTAGGTGTGTTATGTCCTCTACTAGATGACGGCTGATGCAGTATATGGCTGTCGGGAGTCAAACGCGTAGAACCCTCAGTTGCAAAAAAACGAAGGAGGAAAAGTGATTATTAAGTATCAAATTGTATAGAAAAACGGGGTATTTATGGTTTTTAGTATACGCTATACCATTAAAATCCAACCAATCCACAAACAAGAAGTTATACGATTGTTCAAACACAGCATGACACGTTGATATTCTAAAAAGTTCTATCGGGTTCTTGTTGTATGTCATCTCTTTGCGTCCGTACTTTTATCTTTATGAATTTGTTTCGTATCCTTAATACATGCTCCGAAGGCTCCTCGCACTTTATACAAAACTTCCCATTCTTTGTACAATTATCTCTGGTTCCCATCAATTTTGGCCCTGGTTTGTCGAATACTCTTCCCTTACGTCGAAATCGCGAATATAACTACTTTTTATTTGGCCATTCACCTTTTTGGGTGGTAACAGCTCTGAAATTCATCCGAATGCTTCTGCAAACATGACTTTGGTTAGTGACTTTCCGTCTGGGACAAAATGGGTTGGAGTTTGTTCTGTTAGGTGTTATGAACATAGTGATTGATTGACTGGACGTCCCCACGTCTCTCCCTTTATTCAGTACTTTCTTGATGTCCATGAAGCGTTCAACTTATCCTTTAGACTGAGGATAATAGGGTGGACAGCTTGAGTTATTCCATTCACATCACAGAGTTGTTTGCACTATCAAACAAAGCAGACAACTTTTTTATGTTTTGTTCGGCTGTATATTTTGACACTATATTTTTTTGGTCACTTTGTAAATGAATCCAGAGTAATTAGTAACATTTTTCTTCGAACTGAACCAGCGAAATCTGTATGAAGCCTCCCACAGGGTCTAACAGGTTTGGGTCATTTCTGGGGTTCAGATTTCGAAGGGTTTTTAACAACTTGATGGCAGAATGAACGGTCATGAGATTTTACGTCAATATCTCTGTCCATCGAAAGCCAATAAGCGTAGGATCAAGCCAACTATTTCATCTCATTAATCCTAGGGTGATCACTGTGAAGTTGCTTAGGAACTTTTTGGCGCAGTAATTCTGAGATAGTAGTTCGGTTGATCACAACATTACACATGAGCCGACAACCATCAGTGAGTGAAATCGACGAAAGTATTGGAAAGTTTTCTTTGAAAGCGACGTTTCGACCATCTAGTAAGAAGATAACCTTTAACTTCTCTTAATATCTTGTCATTTTCAGTGGTTTCTATGATAGCTGTAAAAAAACCGATCGTTCATCGATTACATCATCCAATATGCGACGAACTCCTTTTCGGTTTTTATGTTTGCCGCGACAATGTCTTCTGAATTTTTTGTCTGAAAATCTATCAATCTAGACAAGGCACCAGCTTGTCCAAAAGTTGTAGTCACCTGGTACTTGATCTTAAAATCGTAGACCATAAGTGTGGTTCCCTATCGTTGTAGCCAGTTAGCCGTGTGAGCAGGGAATCCCTTCTTTGACCTAAATACAACACGTAATGGTTTATAGTCTGTTAATAGAGTGAATTGCGTTAGGGAGATCCAGAAAACTCCTCGAAAAAAAAGCCAAGAAAGGCTCTCAAAACACTTATCCAATTAGCGTTCACTAGAAGTTTTGCCAGAAACATCAAGAAAGTGAAAAGTCACCTGTTGAGTTTCTGATTGCATGATTACTTATACTGTCACTATGTTTAGTAGCATTTCAGAATTTTCGGGAAACCCGAGCACATCTAAAATACTATAAAAACCCTATATTTTCTGTACAAAAACGAACCTTTGGAGTAAAGTGTTTCTCACATATTTCTCGCTTTTTCTCTCGTGTTCACACCGTTGTGTAAATCTAGCCTGGGGGTTACTAGAAGAGCTTAGGAACAAGTCTAGCGTTCAGTTATCAAGATTTATCAAATTGCCGATAAAATATTACCTTGTGAAATCTTTTTACGTCGAAGATAATCGGCAAAGCGTCTTTCTCAGTTTGCCATGTTTATATATATATATATATATATATATATATATATATATATAACATTGCATATCATTGCAACGTCATCATCATTACTACTGAATCGATACTCGGAAACCGAAACTGAAAAATAACAGGATTTGTCTCGTTTTTTTTGTTCTTTTGAAGGTATGAAATACATTAGTTACAAATATACAGATAGACATAAACTTTCGTTAAATAACTAAAAACAATCATATACATATATAAGCCTACACTATTTCCATTTAAGCTAAGCTAAAAATAATTTCTATCATAATACATTACAGTTGTAAAATACTATTTTAAGCTTTGTAGTTTGGTTGAATGATTAGAATAGTAAATCATTTTCATTGAACAAACTATACTACTTTTTTTCGGGGGTGAGGTGAGGTGAGGTAGACATGATTTCACCGTCCCATTTTAGATCCCATGTTTGTGTTGACCAAGAAAAATCGATTTACATTTAACTAACTTTTAATATGTACAAATCATATTTGGTTTGTGTCATGGATATTTGTTATGTAAGGACAACTATTAATTTATTGTTAAAGCACTCAAGGTTTCAGGTACTCGAGTTGAAAGTCCAAATATCATAATTCCTATTTCTGTTTGAGTTACCGGGTAGTGTTCCTGGTTTTCATAAACAGTTTAGCTTTGAGTCGAGTTTACACTGAATGAGTTACACAATTTGATTTGAATCCAATAGTCTCTTTATATGTCAGATAATCTATTTGTGAACGAATATGAGGTAACACTGAAACTATTGCCCTCCTTACTTGACCTACTAACTTGGCGGATATCATAAAAAGTTCTAAATTTTTGTATAAACATTGATGATGGACCTATAGTGATTCTTTGTCGAGTTTTAGAGTTTCAATAGTTCTAACAGCATTGGATTTAATCTCATTTAAATGCTTATATTACTGAGAAGATAAAGATGTAATGTCTTCCTCTTATTCTACTTTTTAATTTTTGTTTAATTGACTCAATGTATATTAAGGACGGATACCTAAATAAAGGAAAACAATTACTAGTATTGACGTATATATTCAGACGTTACTTACCAAGTAAGCCACCGTTCCAGCTAACCCAAATAATTTTTTTTATTTACCGTTCTAAATGTAACTTTCCAACAATGGATTTATATACTTTCTCTGAGAATTATGACCATACAACAAAGTTTCGTTTCACGTACTATCGATAGTCATCTCTTAAAGTTTGATGTTAGAGTTAAGCTTATTGCTATATCTAGTTGACATTTTTTGATGTCCTATAATTAATTATCAACTCGAAATGATTGGCTAACTATGAATTATTAGAAGGGGTTTGTGGAGATTCTAGAAATTTCACAGATTGAAATCATGAGTCAATTGAAGCTAGACCACCATGGAAAACCTGGAAGCACTAGACGGTCGTTTCGTCCTAGTATGGGACTCCTCATCAGTGCGCATCCACGATGCCGCACCCCGCGAGATTCGAACCCAGGACCTATCAGTCTCGCGCCAAGCGCTTAACCAGCTGCATTCAACTTTTTATTGTTTTGTATATCGATACATACTCATACTTTTGTAGAATATTGTCAATGTAGGATTAGAGTTCCTTCAGTAGTGTAAGTTCTTTCACTTTACTTTGTTTTAATATAATGCGTTTCTTAAGTGTTTTTCAATGCAATTAGATAGTATGAGTGAACTAATATTTCATTATATAACACATACATACGCGCATACATGCACACACAAATTTTTATGATTACATTACCACTATTGTTTTCAATACTTTGTTCTATCCATAGGATAATGTGATTCATGTGTAGATAAGAAAGAAACCAATCATAACACTAGAATGTGATTTACTTTTATCTAATCGATTCTCCTTTTCCCCATAGTTGTTATGATTAACCTTACAATTAGATTATAATATACTTAGCAGCAATGAAATATTATTAGATATTCATATCTGTTTATAATTCATAGTGACTTTTAATTTGACCCTTTTTATTTGTTTTATCAAATGTATGTCTGTATAAAATATAAAGAGTAGATTGCGAAACACAATTTAATAGAGATACATCATGTAGGTAATTGATTATGAACCTCTAGAAATTCTCTGTTTTCAGTATATTCAAGGTCAAATCAGTCTATCTCTATTGGTATATATTGACCTCTTGACTAAATATTCTATTATGATCCATGATCTTGTTTATATAATGTTCTTTGATTAGTGGCTACTACTACTAATACAAGGAATAAAAACAATAATGATCCTCATTAACACAGATTATTTATTCCATTGCCAACAATTCAAATATTACGTAATCAAATTTTTCGTATAATAATAATAATAATAATAATAATATTGAATAAAGCGATTATTACTGTTTTAGGTTGGTTAACTCTGTCATGAGGCTCATATAAAATGAATTCTAATAGATGTACAATGATTTATAAGCAAAAACACTTACTTGTACTTTTGTAAAACTCCTGTTTGCTTCAAGTCGAGAATATTTATCACTAATGCT